ATTCATATTATTGTAGCAGAGTGTGTGGTGACACACACATAAAATCTGAAACACTTTGAAATAACAAAGTGATTATGTGTGTGAATCTGTGTTCATACTGTAAATGAAAATATAGAACTTTTTTCAGCTGTTGTCTTTACTTCATTACACCACAAGTATGATCCAGAGATAAATTCTCCCTAAAAGTTGCATGACTCTGAAAATACTGCTACATCTGGTAAAATAGTACAACAACAATGGAGAGTGCCAAAATCATCACAGTACCCTGAAACTCCCTCAGTCTGCTGAGGGTTAATGACTCACACCTGGGGACACTTGTTAGCCTGTTCCAATGTGTGTTCACTGAATGCTAGGGAGGACTCTTGCCTTGCCTCTGCAGGAAGGATCCTTGACTTTGAGAAACACCCAGTGACACCTTGAGATAGTGAGTGAGCATACGTGCAAGGAGTGAATGGCAGGGTGAGAAAGAAACTTATTACCTGAGCAGTAAAGACGCAGCATTAGTAAAATCATTAGCAGTACAGTTAGAGATGTTTGTAGTGCTACTGGTGAGGATTTATGTGAATCTTACTATATAATGATGAAAACTCTGTGTGTGTGTGTGTGTGTGTGTGTGTGTGTGTGTGTGTGTTTGTGTGTCTGTTCCACGTTTTTTTCTCCTCACTGACTTGATCAAGCCATGGGAAATTTGGCACAGTGGTAGAGGGTCATGGAGGATGCGAATGAAGCAATATTACATCAACTGGCCAAAGGGGGGCGCTATAGCAACTAATTGAAATTGCAAACTTTGAATGGGCATATCTCATGCCCCGTATGGCGTAGAGACATAAAAGTTTGCACAGAGCTGCCTCTCCTCGAGGAACAAATTTGCCTCAAGAACCCATAACTTCCAGTTATATAGATTTTCCTCCATTTTGAAATTTTTGAAAAACACTTCAAATCGATCTCTTCCTAGGAAGTTTGACCGATCTGCATGAAACTCAGTGAACATAATCTAGGGACCAATATCTAAAGTTCCCTCTTGGCAAAAGTTGAAAAACTTACTAAAACTGAGCTTCTATAAAGCAATGAATATTGCGGAGGGCGTGGCTCATCACATAAAGGTGTATAACATCTCACAGGTTTCACTGATCACCACGCAACTTTGTAGGCATATGACCACACATAATCTGAGGGGACCCCTCCATTATTGACCCCATCAAACAAAATGGGGGCGCTAGAGAGCTAATTTCTTATCTAGGCCTAACCGCCATATCGATTTTTACTAAACTTGGTAGATATGTAGAACAGGACGCCTCAAGGTGACTGGAGGAATTAAACTCTAATTGGCAACTGGGTGGCGCTATAACAACAGAAAAAAGCTTAAAAATGGCTAAAATGCGACCGATCACTGTGGCTCCCCCTGTGGACCAATGTTGTTGTTTTTTTTTCTAATTTTTGGTATGACTAAGTCATGGTATGGTATGCTGTACTCAATGGGTATGTACTAGTTTAAATAATTTTCAAGTCCTGCTTGTTGTATTATTTTCAGAATACTCCAACTTTCTTTTGTCTTATCAAGCTGGAGTTGTGGTGGAAACGGAGCGGGCAGAATTGCCAAGGCAGGTTATTCTCATGTACTGTTCGTGTGTTTACATGAAATAATACACCAAAATTTGTACATATTCCATGTGAATGTATCCTCATATAATGGTTTGTATGATATCCTATGTATTAGCACCCCACAAATAATGTTGCATACTTAACATAAGTTATGTATTTAATGTAAAGCAATAGAGGTTAGGTTTAGGCAAGGAAAGTCACTGTGGTTAAGTTAAGGAAAAGAAACATGGTGACAACATACCTTAAAATGACTCACACAGTTCTGAACACCAGTTTCCATGGGGAAAGTCCAGTGTTTTGTAACCCATCCACTGCCCCACCTGCCTCCTTACGGGAACCACTCAGGCCTGTTTCCTGCTCTCTGCCATCAGCACACTGGTCATGTGATGTCAGCCTTCCAAAATAAGTGGGTTATACATGAATTACTGGCTTATGGTTATTATACATGCTGTTCCCATGCACTGTTCATAATTTTTCATATGAAAAGTAATGCACTGAAATTCACACATATCCCTCATAATCATGAGCAAGCAATACACTTACCCCAGGGAGAGTTCCCAGGCGACCTGTGTTCACAACTATGTGAACTCTGAGTAAACTTTGAGTCATTTTAATTTATGTTGTCCTCATGTTACTTGTCTTAAACATAACCACAGTAAGTTTACTTGCCTAAACCTGCCCTCTGTAATTAGTTACGCAACTTCATGTTAAGTACTTAAAGTCATTCGTAGGGTGCCAATTTGTTGTATATCACACAAATTGTTGTGTGGACATCTTCATAGAATATCACATGAACCATTGTAGGAGGATACATCGGCCAGTGTGACCTGGATTGCTAAAGCATTTAGCCAATCAATGACTGCTTCAATGCAGCATAGGAATCTCAGTTCTTGTTTACACCTGATGTAGTAAAATTTTACGGTTGTTACCCACAGCTTGTGACCACGACCTGAAACAATTTGTGCAGCACAGCCCATGCCCAAACCTGTTAACCTCATGCCCTTTAAGCAGTGACTTTGTAAATGAACACCTCCATTTAAGGTAACAGCTTCCCCCTCTCTGGATGGAGCAGAGACAACAGTGTCAGCAATGGCAGGTGTTGATTTCCAGAACTGTCAGCATTTCCCATCCAATCTCATTCACCCAGAGCATATTTCAACTAAGTGGCTTCCACAGCGATATCTGCCATTGAGAACCCTGACTCCCGTCCAGAGGGCATGTCTAGGAAGTTCCTAAAGTGAAATCACCTTCAAACTTTATCCACAATCTCGGCATTTCCCCTCTGTGACAGTGATCAGTGATCATCTGCTCTGACGTGCCAATGCTTCTGCTGCTGAGTCAGCATTACCAGCCTAATCTGGAAGACCTCCTCTTATGCTCGACAAATAACTGATAGCTCCTCAATAACTTGACAAGCCCTGACAAAGATTTCCGTTAGACCGAAGCGCTACGTTAAATGAAATCTATCGGGGGCTTTTCGTACCGTGTGCAGATAATTTGTTTGACTGAGGTGCAAAAACTATTATTTCAGACAATACTGATGGATTAATCTCTGAGATAACAGACAGATTAATCTGTTAATCATTCATTTGATTCATCAATGCATTTGCAGATAAATACCTCAACATCTATAAAAGCAGCTGTCTTATCAGACATTTCTTGTATAACTGCAGTAATACAGACAGAAGGTCAGCACATCGACACTCAACGGGCAAGAAAAAAAGATTTATTGTGGTTGAATGTCCTTCACATGTCTCTGGGATGTGACACTGAGCAATCCAATAATGTGATAATATTCAAAAAGCAATACAGCAGTAATTCAGTTACGATTTTGAAAAGCTCCACTGTTCAGTTATCCAACAAATTGAGGTTTAATGGTTACCTTTGCCAGTCCTTCTTTGCCCTGTTCTTATGCATGATGAAGGACATCACTAATGTTTATCTCTGTGAACATTCCCTCGTATTTAACTTTATCATTTGTCTCATTCATTAATGTCATTAGTGCTGATAGATTTCGTGTTTCCATGGAACAAGCGTGACAGAATATGGGGAGGTCTTTCACCTTCATTTAGCCAGAGACTGTACACTTTATTCTACATGAACCACAAAGGTGTTTGATATTTTTTCCTTCTCTTATTGTGTGCTCTGCCACTTTCTGTGTGTATGTGTTTGTGAGAAGAGAGAGAGGAGATGCCTGAGTTTGCAACCCTTCAAGAGACAATTGGGAAACGGCACAGAGGAAAACAGACACACACAAATACAGAGATGCAGGCAAATACACACATTTCAGTTAGCCACTGCCTCTGCCCTCTGGATTTCTTTCTACTATGGTGGTTTATCTTAATAAAGGGACTGTTTGCTTACCCTTTTTTTTTTGTCCTAAATACGTCGCCCCAAGGGAAAATGAAGAATGATTTTTTTTTCAAGGCATTTCATCACAGGTCAGTGACCGGAGAATCATCTGTTTGGAGACAGATCTAATATTGAAAGCGCAGACCTTATTTGAACAAAATTTGATTCATTTTTTTGTGTTTGCTGTGTGTGTGTAAGAAAGAGAGAGATGAAAGAAATGCTATGAAAAAAGAAGAATTTAAGGTTATGGATATAACTCCAGTTCTCTGATTCACATAAGTGAGTCTCTGACCTGACCACCTTCCTTGTTGTGAAAGTGATAAAGATGTGAGCTTGTTTTGAATAACAGCTGATGCTAGGCTGCTAGGACGCTATAGGTGTTGCTGAGGCTTTTGTCCATCTCTTTGTGAATGCAAGTAAGTTGGCGTCTTTGTTTTTGGCCAGGGTCTTTTCAGTAAATCTAAAGAATAAAGGCTGTGTGTCTCCTGGCCCTCTCCCTGCTCCTCTTTTTATACCACTTACCTCCACATAGGGTAGCGTTTTCTTGAGCATTTATCTTTGCTTAGTTTGCCATGCTTGTACTGTTGTCTGAGCAGTCTCACGCCCATGCCATACTGCCTGCGTGAGCAGTGCGTGACAGCTACCTCACTGAACTGCTCACACAAGGACAGCAAATACTGTACCTCCACAAACAAAATCTGGTACTTCACTCATTTATGTAGTTGTGCAAGCCACTGCATTGTCAACAATACGGTCATGAGAAAATTTCATAATGAAAAGTCTTGTGTTAACAAATAAAGGGATTCTGTTGACAGACCGTGTGACTGTGATGATCACATCTTTAGCAGTGGAAAAGCTGGTTTATCTAAATCAAAAGAACTTGCACTACCTTAAGACATCATTAGTTGCGTCATCTTGTGGTTTTGCAAGTGCAGTAAATGTTCAAACACGTCGAGTATTCCATCACCACATGGATATTGCAACTTACTGGACAGTCCCACAAAACCTCATGTATAAAAGGAGGAATCAGGGAGGAAAATGTTTATCAAAAGAGCAGTTCATCAGAGGAACTTCTTGGTCTCATTAACAGGTAAGAGATGCTTTATGAGATGTCTTTTTGTTAGCAGCAACTGGCCCGTAATAGGTATGTGAGAAAGGACAATTTTAACATTAGTTGTTAGTATACCTTTACCAATGCTATTTTAATTGTGATACTAGTATTTTAAAAAGGTTCATCTAGTGACAGTTAACCTAATCAGTGCTGAGAATGCTTATTATTGTTCTCCCCTTTTCAGGATTCTTCTGCTTTCCAGAGTGAAAATGGTGGATTATAAAGTGACTGTGTCCACTGTTAATATTGCCACTGCTACCACTTTTAACAACGTCTACATTAAACTGGTGGGCACAGATGGGGAGAGCGATCGCACGTGGCTCGTAAGCGTAAAAGGGGCTCTATCCTTCGTCAGAGGAGCAGTAAGTCTTAAATATCCCTTTCTAAATGTGTTACAGTGTTCTTGTTAATTTCACCAATAGCCCACAGATTATAGGCCTATAAATGTCACTTCAGAAAAGATGATGTAAACCCTTGCCAACTTAGATTCATATGGGCAGCAACAGGGTATGTGCTGCTCTGCAACTCTTCAACATATGGCCACAAAGGTGACCACAGGAACAGGAGATTACCATAATGAGCTTCATGTAATTGGTATTTTATGCAGTGGTATTATATTGTTATGTGAGCTTTACTTTGTCCACCCCTCTGCATTTAGAAATTGTATGCTAACTATTGGCATGTGACAGCTCAGTTCTTAGTTATCAGATACACGTTCTCCTATTCCTTCTGTCATCGCTCCAGGTGTCTACGTTTACCGTGTCCTGCCCTGCCTCCATTGGCAAGCTGGTCCTGATAGAGCTAAGCCTACAGCATATCCCACTGTTTGGGGAAGACTCTTGGTTCCCTGCTAAGGTGGAAGTGAAATCCCCTGAGGGAGACACCTACAACTTCCCCATCTACCAATGGATCACTGACAGTGAAGTGCACCGCTTCAGAGAGGGAACAGGTTTGTGGAAATTTGCTGTCTGCATCCTGTACATTGTTCGCTGGTTACAGAAGATATTAAAGAAAGACAAATTCTGCAAGCTAGATAGTAAGAAGGCTGGAGTACATTTATAACAATATTCAGTATATTTATGAATTTTAAACCCTGTTGTGGTTCTTTTTTTCAGCTCTGAAAGTCTCTGAAGACAACCATCATCTTGGCAAGTACAGTCGGGAGCAAGAGCTGAAGCAACGGGAGGAAAATTACCGGTGAGAGTTCAGGGCTTATGCACACTTTAAATTTTGACATTTTAACTTGTTTATACTCTACTCTAGTATCTCGACTGTCCATAGTTTCTCACCACTCTGCTCCTCTATTGTTCCTAGCTGGCATGTGTATGCAGAGGGAATACCTCACTGCATGAAGGCAGAAGACCCTACTGATCTTCCTGCTGAAGTCCGCTTCTCCTTCACAAAGGCTTCAGAGTTTCGCTTCACTGCACTCACTGGGTAAAGTCCAAAAATTCAGTCAGATGTGTATCTTTCTATCTGTCTGTCTGTCTGTCTCTCTGTCTGTCTATATGATTATGTACCTGCCATCAAAGTAAAGTTACTCTTTGCTTTTATTTTCTAGGCTGGCTGAGCTGCGTCTGAAAGGACTGGCTGAATCCACGGAGAACTGGCCTGATATTGACTCTATAAATCGAGTGTTCTGCTGCAAACAGACTGACATATTGGGTACTAACACAGAGTTTAATTAAATACTTGATACTGTATCCATAATAGTGCTTTCAACTGTATTCATTTAGATATTCAACTGTATTACCTAAAAATACCATTGAATTTGTTTTACCCTGATATGAGCAATTAAGGTTCCACTACATACTGAAAAGTGTTGCTCCTTTACTGGCTTCATTAAATGGAAATAAGGAATATTTAAACATGTTTGTGTATCTATAGATATAAAGTTGTCTAATTTTGGGCTTTGCTCATGAGAAAAGTTAAATTAAATTCTGTTCTTTTTCCAGACTATGTCCAGAAACACTGGAAGGAGGATGCTTTTTTTGCCTACCAGTATCTAAACGGTGTCAACCCCATCTTGATCCGACGCTGTTCAGCTCTGCCTGATAACTTTCCTGTCACTGACGACATGGTCTTCCCCAGTGGTCAGTTCAGCTTGGCAGATGAAATGAAGGTATCCGTCTTGACCTTAATTAATCTGAGCATTAGAATGCATCATGTTTTTCCCATGACATGTTAAATTTGGAACTGCATGTTGCACTTACATGTTCACTAAGATTTCTCATCCTCACAAAAACAGAAAGGCAACATATTCCTGTGTGACTACAAGCGTTTGGATGGACTGAAAGCAAACATCATCAATGGGAAGCAGCAGTACTTGATGGCTCCCCTCGTCCTGCTCCACAAAACACCTGATGATAAGCTGATGCCAGTTGCTATTCAGGTGAGAAGTAATCCCTCTTCTGCGACAGACACGCATCACAATAGATGTCATTTATACAGAGTGGATAAAAATACCTTTAGTAAAATTACACTAATGGAGTGTGTGAAGAATACGGATCACAGCAAAAGCAACATATTGCCATTCTTAAACATTACTGACCAGTACTTGTAGAACTGGTAATGGTTTGAATGGATAGAATGAACCACACCTCCTTCCTTCTCCTGCAGCTGAAGCAGACTCCAGCAGAAGACAACCCCATCTTCCTTCCTACTGATTCTGAGTATGACTGGTTGACGGCCAAGATTTTTGTGAGAAGTGCAGATTTCAACGAGCATCAACTCAATGTCCACCTGCTGCGCACTCATCTGTTCGCTGAAGTGTTTGCAGTGTCACTGCTGCGCAATGTGCCCTCGGTGCATCCACTGTACAAGGTAACTGAGGGGAGAATACTGAAGTTCGTATAGTTGTAGGTTTTTGGACTTGCTGATTTTGTATCTTCCAAAGTTGACAAATCATATCCTTCGTATCTATCTCTGTTAAATGGTATAGAGGCATCAAGATTACTGACTTGGTTAACATGTAATAGTGTTACTAACAGAGTTCCCTTTGTCTTTCAGCTCCTTGTACCTCACACTCGCTACACTCTGCAGATCAACTTCTTAGCTCGAGCTCGTCTCATATCTGAGACTGGATCTTTCACACTGGTACGAAAAGACCAACACACAGTAGACCATCAGCTAAACATGTTTCTTGTTTCAACATCATGCACAGTATTTGTCTCTAACTATACTCCTGACATATCTGACTGTCCTCTAGTTTGCAGCCTCTGGTGGAGAGGGTTTGGTGACACTCCTGCAGAGATCACAGTCCTCAGTGACCTACAGCTCCCTCTGCATGCCAGAGGACATCGCTGAGCGTGGGGTGGAGGATGTGCCGAACTTCTACTACAGGGATGATGGACTCGGGATTTGGGATATCATTCACAGGTACCAATACGCAAAAATCAGAGCCCAGATCCTCCCGTCTCTATTTGCTGCTATTGCTCTCTTACGTAACTTGTTTTCTCATTACTGATTTCTTCAGGTTGCAATGTATCTGTTTCTAAACAGTTTACCTTGCATCATTTCTTTCAGTTAGTCCATCTTAATGCAATCTCCTCTGAACAGTTAATGTTGAAACACATGCTCCTTTGTAGGTGTCACTGTAGCCAGAGGAGCTGCTTTAAGTTTTGGGTCTCCTTATAATGGTTTATAAGGTTTGTGAGATGCTCAGTGCATTAAGGGTACCTACAGAAGCTAAAACACATCCCTGCAATAACTCAAATTTTCACAGAGAGTTTAATGTTCTCTTTTTGTTGAATTTTGCAGGCTGTAGTTTGACATTCTGTTGAAATGTATTTTGTTAAACTGAGATGTGTTTCTAATATTAACAGTAGTCTACCCTCACTGTCTCAAATGCCATGGATGGAATTAAAAACACTTCACAGTGTAACACAGCTGGATGGCAGGGGCCAGGTTTTACATGCTTAAACTACAAAATTTCTCTCAAATAACACTGAAGGACTGAGGCATTTTAGAAAAGCAGGACAACCTATTCTGAATCCATTAATAGCAGCGCTGCAGTCGCTTAAACTTACAATTGATTTATTGTTGACTTGCCCTTTAAATATCAAGTGACCTACGTGTTAGATTAAGAATGCCTTGAAGAGATGGCAGTACAGTAAACGGGTGAACCAAACCTTAGCTACTGCTTCTTGATTGAGTAAAGTGGCAGATGGCTATGAAATTTTATAAATAGGCCTATTACTGCCTGAACTGCTTTAATGGAGAACTTCAGCGATATTAAAGGGGCATCCCTTTATTTAGGCTTTGAACGATATGGTTGAGTCCTGTAGCTCTGAAAGGTAACATTTAATTCAATTACAAACCAATTTTATTTATATAGCCCAATATCACAAACAACAATTTGCCTCAGAGGGCAGACCGATGTGCCATAGATGATGTGTGTTCATACTAACATAATTAATAAAATTAATAAAAATTATAGTATAGAAAATCTGGAACAGTCTTTCTGAAGATGTGAGACAGGCCTCTACTCTGACAATGTTCAAATCTAGGCTCAAAACAGCTCTATTTCACTGTGCATATGACTGAAAGGATCTTATCTGCACTCTTCTCTTTTAAAGTTCATTTTATAATGATTATTTATGTTTTTATTTTGTATTGTGATTTTAATGCATTTTCTTGTTCTGTAAAGCACTTTGAATTACTTTGTGTACGAATTGTGCTCTACAAATAAACTTGCCTTGCCTTGCCTTGCCTTGCCTTGCCTAGACAAAGAAGTGTTAACTAAGGGTAAAACTACCCTAGTTAGGATGGGATCTAAGAGACAAGTAGATGATTTGGATGAAGAAATGTTACTGTGTATGAAGATAGATAGATACCGGGTAATGGCAAGAGGTGATGAATTTTGTCAAGAAACTTATTAAGTCATTACTGCTGAGGGCTATAGGAGTACAGGGTTCAGTAGTGACTTTAATGTACAAAAATGAGTTGTGTTCACATTTTACTTATCCACATTTCTCATAGGTTTGTGCAGGGAGTGCTCAGCTTCTACTATAAGAGTGATGCTGAGGTCCAGCAGGACTCTGAACTGCAGAAGTGGATTTCAGACATTTTTGAACATGGATTCCTTTCCCAGGCATGCACAGGTGGGCTTTAAATAAAATCTTGGTCTTAATTGTGAGAAATGTGCACATTTATAATTTTGTAATCTAGATGTCTTTAATTAATGCAGTTTATTTCCTCTAATTCTCAGGAATTCCACAGAGCTTTAAAACCGTGGATGAGTTGGTCAAGTTTGTCACCATGGTGATCTTCACTTCCTCAGCACAACACTCGGCTGTGAACACTGGACAGGTGAAGCCTTTAAAATGACCTATATTACCATTTATGATGTTATTTTTATTGTGAGATGGGTTGATGAGGTTCTGCAGTTTGTGTCTGAATTGGAGAGAGATGGATGACATAAATAACATCATAGTTTAGTATGTCGTCAAAAATCCCGAAAAAACATCGTAGTATATTATGTCATCAAAGATCGCGAAAAAACTTCATAGTATAGTATGTCGTCAAAAATCATGAAAAAAAGATCACAGTTTAGTATGTTGTCAAAAATCATGAAAAAAGTTGTATATCGTGAAAAATCATGAAAAAAACGTCATAGTTTAGTATGTTGTCAAAAATCATGAATAAAACTTCATAGCATAGTATGTCGTCAAAAATCATGAAAAAAACGTTATAGTTTAGTATGTTGTCAGAAATCATGAAAAAAAACTTCTTGTATAGTATGTCGTCAAAAATCATGAAAAAATGTCATAGTTTAGTGTGTTGTCAAAAATCATGAAGTATGTCGTCAAAAATCATGAAAAAACATCATCGTAGAGTATGTCTTCAGAAATCATGAAAAAAGGTCATAGTTTAGTATGTTATCAAAAATCATGAAAAAAACTTAAAATCATGAAAAAACGTTATAGTATGTTGTCAAAAATCATGAAAAAAATGTCATAGTTTAGTATGTCGTCAAAAATCATGAAAAAAACGTCATAGTATAGTATGTTGTCAAAATCATGAAAAAAACATCATAGTATAGTATGTCGTCAAAAATCATGAAAAAAAAGTCATAGTTTAGTATGTCGTTAAAAATCATGAAAAAAGTCATAGTATAGTATAGTATGTCGTCAAAAATCATGAAAAAAGTCATAGTTTAGTATGTTGTCAAAAATCATGAAAAAAAGTCATAGTATAGTGTGTCGTCAAAAATCATGAAAAAAATGTCATAGTATAGTATATCGTCAAAAATCATGAAAAAAGTTATAGTATAGCATGTCGTCAAAAAACATGAAAAAACATCATAGTTTAGTATGTCGTCAAAAATCATGAAAAATGTCATAATTTAGTGTGTTGTCAAAAATCATGAAGTATGTCGTCAAAAATCATGAAAAAAACTTAAAATCATGAAAAAACATTATAGTATGTCGTCAAAAATCATGAAAAAAATGTCATAGTATAGTATATCGTCAAAAATCATGAAAAAACGTCATAGTTTAGTATGTCGTCAAAAATCATGAAAAAACGTCATAGTATATTATGTCGTCAAAAATCATGAAAAAAAGTCATAGTATAGTATGTCGTCAAAAATCATGAAAAAAATGTCATAGTATATTATGTTGTCAAAAATCATGAAAAAAAGTCATAGTATAGTATGTCGTCAAAATCATGAAAAAAAACTCATAGTATAGTATGTCATCAAAAATCATGAAAAAACTACGTGGTATAGTAGTTTGTAAAAAATCGCAAAAAAACCATCATAGTATGGTATGTCTTCAAAAATCCAGAAAAAATGTTATAGAATAATATGTCGTCAAAAATCACGAAAAAACTTCATAGTATCTATGTCGTCAAAAATCAAATAATTGAATCATTATGATCATAGTGCTATGCTTCGAATTGTATTAATCAGTTACTGGTCAATCATTCATAAATTGCAGTATGACTATGGCGGCTGGATGCCCAACACTCCCATCTCCCTGCAACTTCCTCCACCAACCACAAAGGGGACGACAAGCGAGGCCACGATGCTGCAGACATTTCCTGCTGTCAACACAACCGTTCAGGGAATGGCCACCATGTGGCTACTCAGCCAGCAGTCCTCTGATTTCGTAAGTGCCCAAGACTTTATGAAAAATTAATAGACATAAATCATGTTCATGTTCAAGTTGTGTAAAGTAGGTTAATATGTCATGAGAGCAAATACATGCTCTCACTATCACAGCCTGCTCACTTTTTACAACTGTACATTTTAATGCCAATAGTTTATGTTTGACAGGCCTAAACCTTTTTTTTTAACGCATCATTGATGTCACCAGGTCGCTCTCGGCCAGTACCCAGAGGAGCATTTCAGCGAGGAAATTCCCTGCAAGCTGATAAAGGATTTTCAGGGAGAGCTTGAAGTGTTGAGTGCAGTCATCAAAGCCAGAAACAAGAGTCTGGAGGTGCCATACACATACATGGATCCAACTGAGGTAGAAAATAGTGTGGCTATTTGAATATCAGAAGCGTGACCTCCTCAGCTGTTGGCCGAATTCAGCTTCATATCAAAGGAATACTTCACCCACAAAACGACCATATTTATATCAGTTAGTCACGCTGTGTTACCTTGAATTCATTAAGAAAATGTTATTTTTCTCATGCCACATTTAAAAACAGCAAAGCTATATCACAACATCTGTTTGTAAGCTCTCACACAACTCGTGCAGTATAATCCAAGTCTCATAGATCTAGTCATATACTCAGTGTTTCCCAAACACATGCATTGAACTTCATAAAGGCATCTCTTCTGGATTAAATGGCACAAGTTGTGTAAGAGTTTGTAAACAGATGTTTTGATTTAGTTTTGCCCTTGAACGTTCTCCCCAGTCAATCAATAAATCAGTTTGTTAGCTAATTTCCAATGGTGCATGCGAGACAAATGAAATTTCTTCATGACTTGAAGGTTACACTGCATGACTGCGTGATTTAAAAATGATCATTTTGTAGGTGAAGCATTCTTTTAATAAAGATGTGAAAGGGGATAATCTACATGTTCTGTCTTACCTGATACTATGGTGGAAGGAAACTACTGCATGTGATTGTTTCATGCTGATCTTTGATTTCTATACAGACTGACTGATTTAACTGAGGTGAAATTTAATCTTTGAAACCTGAATTAACAAATTAAATCTTCATCTTAATTTGTCAGTGATGTCCGATAATTTAGCTACAGCTTGATCTGTGTGTGAGCCTGTTTGTGCCAGTTAGAATAGTACTACATATTTTTGTGAGAAACAATGACAAATATTTTCTAAGTAATAACTAATAATAACTTGTTGTTATTTATTTATTGTTGTTTTCTTGACATGTTGCTGATGACAAAACTGTCTGTTAAACATTGTGCATATGAATATAAAATGAACGACATTCTTCGTATTATATTAGCTCATTATGTTGTTGTGTTTGTGATTTTTTTCATTTCATATCTCTCTGTGTGACCAAATTCCTTCACCAAAATAAAATATTGTTAAGTCTACACAGTGATGAGTGCCTGTAAGATCATTATTATTCTCACACCTACAAGATCTTCCACTGTTAGTATTATTCACTGGAGGGGACATCCAAAAACAACCAATAAACCAGCCCAACAGTAGTAAAATGATTGCTGCTTGCTTCTGTGTTGGAGAGATGGTGGGGCCCTTTGCATATCTGTGCCTATAGGGGCCCATTGTCTCATAATGTGCCCATGCATGTCGGCTGAACTTGCATAGAACAGAAAGGGGGCTAAATAACACTACAAAGTTTTTGCAAGGGAAATAGTGACATGTTGATTTTCAAATGGGTCCCTTGAACTCTCACCTCAAGACATCTGAAGGAAAATGGGTTGTACTGGTACCCATGAGTCTCCCTTAATCTCGAGAAGGCTCGTTCCCAGTGAATGTTTTGTTCCTTAAAATCAACGTACTCCTTCAAAGTGAAGCTGTATATTTGTCTTTTTAAGGAAAAGGACAACCAGCCTATTTGAAGAACAATGAATCGCTATTTGCACATATTAAAACAGGACTGATGTGGAATTCAAAATGTTAACTGTACCAATATTAGTCCAAGCACGTCAGATAAATAGTATTAAAATAAGAAACCAAAGTATATCAGTATGCGACTCCTCAACTCTCCACACTGACATTGTTTTCAATTAGTCTATATACTTGAGCAGCGTAATTAAATTTCTGAAATTCAGTTATTGCTTTTGGCTTTGATGTGCCACTCAAAGATTTTCAATGGCCCCATCCGGTCACCCCTATGGAAATATTCTGGGGGCACCACTGCTGCTCTGACCTGCCAAATCTCCACTGTTGAGTCAGCATTATCAGCCTAGTCTGGAAGACTTCTTCTTCAGCGTGACAGATAACTGATCGCTCCCTGATAACCTGACAATGCCTGTCAAAACCTCCATTACAGTTAGAGGAAATCTACTGGGAGCTGTTGGTACAGTGTGCAGATCTTTTGTCTGACTTCAGCATTGTAAGGTGCAAACATTGGGTTTTTTATTGCACACCATAATGATTGATTAATCTCTGAGATAGACAGATGAATCTGTTAATCATTCACTTGATTCATCAGAGTATTTGAAGATAAATACCTCAACATCTATAAAAGCAGCTGTCTTATCAGACTGCTGTTGAATAACTGCAGTAATACAGACAGAAGGTCAGCAAATCTGCACTCAACGGATGAGAAAAAAAGATTTATTGTGGTTGAACGTCCTTCACATGTCTCTAGGATGTGACACTGAGCACTTCTAATAATGTGATCATATTCAAATAGCAATACAGCAGTAATTCAGTTATGATTTTGAAAAGCTCCACTGTTCGGTTATCCAACAAATTGAGGTTTAATGGTTACCTTTGCCAGTCCTTCTTTGCCCTGTTCTTATGCATGATGAAGGACATCACTAATGTTTATCTCTGCGAACATTCCCTCATATTTAACTTTATCATTTGTCTCATTCATTAATGTCATTAGTGCTGATAGATTTTGTGTTTCCATGGAACAAGCGTGACAGAATGTGGGACGGTCTTTCACCTTCATTTAGCCAGAGACTGTACACTTTATTCTACTTGAACTACAAAGGTGTTTTGTATTTCCCTCTCTTATTGTGTGCTCTGCCACTTTCTGTGTGTATGTGTTTGTGAAAAGAGAGAGAGGAGATGCCTGAGTTTGCAACCCTTCAAGAGACAATTGGGAAACGGCACAGAGGAAAACAGACACACACAAATACAGAGATGCAGGCAAATACACACATTTCAGTTAGCCACTGCCTCTGCCCTCTGGATTTCTTTCTACTATGGTGATTTATCTTAATAAAGGGACTGTTTGCTTACCCTTTTTTGGCCCCAAATATTTCGCCCCGAGGGAAAATGAAGAATGAATTTTTTAAAGGTATTTAATCACAGGTCAGTGACAGGACTTTGGAGAATCATCTGTTTGGAGACAGATCTAATATCAAAAGCGCAGACCTTATTTGAACAAATGTTGATTCATTTTCTGTGTTTGCTGTCCGTGTACATGTGTGTGTGTGTGTGTGTGTATGTCAAAGAGAGGGAGAGAGATGTTATCCATGGTAACCGTCTCTTCAGGGTCATCACACTCTTCCCTACTGGCCAGTAGCATGAATTCACAGCACAAATTTCATGAAGCTGAGCTCACGAAAACCATATGCAAATTTAATATACTGTTGTTGGGATTTACAGGACCACAGATGATTTATCATTTGGTAAAATCTAAACTGGAGATTTAAAGGCTTTTTCCTCTGCATGCTCTTTGTTCTCCAAACAAAGAGAGCTATGTGACACCCATCTCCACAGGAGGTCTCACCTCACACCTCAGTGAGACTCAAGTCCCAAAACTTGATTGGACAGTACCTTTACAGTGACATGTGACTCTGATGTCACAGGCATCTGTAGATCTGTGCTCCCTTTCAACAATTCTCTCTCTTGCTCTACAGCTGCATAGGAGTGCATGCCTCTTTCTGGCTGGGCCTGGACCAGCGCAGAGGCCTAGACCCTTGCGCCATAGCCCAAACCACTAAAGGGAGGGCAATTGATCACAGACTCTCTTGCAAACACAAGGTTTGCAACTAGCTTTCCAGCAAAAAGGAACTAAGTGAGTTAGCACCCAGCGTCTAACTCTGCTAAACCCTGAGCGACCAGCTTCCTCGGAGTTTCACCCTTTGGAACAAAGGACCCAACAAAGACTGCACCTGGAACGATCTTCCCAGCCTTCTTCTGCCGGCTAACAGCAGTACACCACCAAGTGACTCTTTCTCCCATCCATTCAAGGATCGGTAACGTAACAACTGGGCATAGTTTATCACAGCTTTACAGGCTAAGCAAGACTGTTTAACTTGTTGTATGTGATTTGATGCTGTTCATTGAGTTATTGTTGTGATAGTTTGCAGTTAGGTCATTGATTAGTTGGCTTCGCCAAAGCTAAGTGTTTAGTTTGCTAATACTTTTTACAAACAGATTCTTGCACCCAACTAAACAATCTCTGCACTAATCCAGACCGTTTGCAACACAAATCACATTCACATAGACTCATTAACAAAAAGGCTTTCAACAGAGCTACCCCAAACAGGCATCTCAAAGTTCCTGCTTCTTTTCCTTTGTCTTTGTCCTGACCACACGGTCAGACAACCACCTCCCCTGACCTGAAGCTAGCCTTGATTCGGCCATTTTGGTAGTTCTCTGTTGTCAGCCATTTTGTTTTGTATGCCAAACGGCTCTTTGATCACCACACCCGCCTTTGTCTTTCTCTTCTTTCTCTCTCTCACACACACATATACACACACACACATATACACACCAAGCTTGTATATAGTTAGTTAGAATTTGTGTGGTTTGGTTTGCTTTGCTAATTTGTGAATAAATATAATTCTTTGGAATCATGCCTGCTGTCTGTTTAATTTTGCACAAGAGTGAATGAATAGTCAACCTCTGCTGCATCAAGAACTCAGAAATCTTTCAGGCATTACCATTAATTTTGGTTGTTGTCATTAATTTAATTATTAATCAAACTCCAAATTAATAGTTTAGCATATTTTATGAGACTGATATCTTTAACTGGCTATCATTTTTCCCTTTACGGGAATGGTGCCCCATGAGGTGATTTAATGTTAATTAAGTCACATTATTTAACATAATGAATAATTATTAATAATCATTAATTATTTCCGATAGCCAATTAAATCCCAACATAATTGGTGCCACTGTATGAAGCCCGAATTTATGTTCCCAACATTTTGGTGCCTCCGTGTGAAGCCTAATGTGTTGACCCCAACTCTGCTGCGAGCACATCCAGTGATTTAAACATTTCCACTTGTGTGACAACGCATAATGAGGCATCCTTAATTAATAATAATAAAAAAAACTCCACTAACTGCTTTATTGTGCATACAGTTTACTGTTGTCACCTACCATAAAAAACAGGTGGTGTTCATATGAGTGTGAAGGATATGTATCATGGTTGCTTGCAGTTCAGCATACTTTGCACACTCACTTATAATGGTGGTCGAATTATTGACTGGAATTGTGCTTGAGGCTCCCTTTTATTCAGTTTTATCGGATACCTGGCAGCCTTCAAACAGGTATGCTTCTTGGCCGTCGTATAAATGAGGAGAATGTATCTTTGAATTTCTGTGAGTAATATGAAATATTCAATCAAAGCGTGCGTCCTTCTGCTTTGTGCCGGTCTGCAAATTGTTTTGAGCTCCGTCATCGGTTGTGCCTGTCATCTGCAAAGAACATTTTCTGTCTGTCTTTTATTTATTAAAAAATTTGTTACTCACTTTGAGAACCGTTGTGCTCTTCGTGACATTTTTCAAATTCAGCTACTCTCAAAATGATTGCCAAATTAATTCGGCTGACCTGATCCTTTAATCTTTTAATTTACATAAAATTTAACAAGGCCTTCTTTTGCATATGTATACACTGTCTTGATCAAAGTTTTTTTTAGGATTTGTCATAATAAATTTGTCTTGATAAAAGACGCCTTGAATCTCAGTGTTGACTGAAATAAATAAAGCGAAGCGGCCTGTAAAAGGTAAAGAAACTCACAGCAGTAATTGGATTTTGTTATAAAACTGGTACTGTATAAATCAAGCACAGTCATTCTATAATACTTTGATTATTTTACTCAGTCCCAGAGTGAAGAAAGTACTCTGAAGCATCATATTCAAGGGAACCTTTGGAGTTTTCACTTTACACAAACAGTTGTTTGATCCTCACCACTGAGTGCAACCTTAGGGTTTAACAAAAATCATGACTGCATTAACATTATAAAACGTGCATTGTTACTGGAACTTAAAATGTCTGTCCTCTTCTTCTTCTCCTTTTTAGTTAAATGAATGTAGTGGCAGATGTTCCTAGGTGACATGGGCCACCTCTAGTCCCGGCCTATGCAGTTCACCTTAATGTGTTCATCAGTTAGTGTTCATCTCAGTCAGAACAAGCTAGACCATTGATGGGTATAGTGAAGTGGAGTGTATGTGGAGGGCATTCGAGTAAGAGAAAATGAAACTTATAAAACTCTAAATGGTCAAGCTCCGTCATATCTTAGAGAGCTCATAGTGCCTTATTATCCCACCAGAACACTGCGCTCTGAGAACGCAGGGTTACTCGTGGTCCCTAAAGTCTCCAAAAGTAGATCAGGAGCCAGAGCCTTCAGCTATCAGGCTCCTCTCCTGTGGAATCATCTTCCTGTTACGGTCCGGGAGGCAGACACCGTCTCCACATTTAAGACTAGACTTAAGACTTTCCTCTTTGATAAAGCTTATAGTTAGGGCTGGCTCAGGCTTGCCCTGTACCAGCCCCTAGTTAGGCTGACTTAGGCCTAGCCTGCTGGGGGACCTCCTATAAAACACCGGACACCTTCTCTCCTTCTCTCCCTCTCTCTCTTATGTCCAGTTACTGCATGTCACTAACTGGGCTTCTTCTCCGGAGCCATTGTGCTCCACTGTCTCTCAGGTTAACTCGGTGCCTGGATAGTGTGACGTGTGTGGTTGTGCTGCTGCCGTGGTCCTGCCAGATGCCTCCTGCTGCTGCTGTTATCATTAGTCACACTTCTACTGTTATTATACACATATGATTATTGTCACATACATACACTATCAGATATTAATATATACTTTCAACATATTGTACCACAATAGCTAGAATTATAATCATAATATTATTACTTTCATTAATGTTGTAAGCTACTATCATTACTGTCTGTCCTGCATCTCTCTCTGTCTCTCTTTCTGTCTCATTGTGTCATACAGATTACTGTTAATTTATTATGTTGATCTGTTCTGTACGACATCTATTGCACGTCTGTCATCCTGGAAGAGGGATCCCTCCTCAGTTGCTCCTCCTGAGGTTTCTACCGTTTTTTCCCCCCGTTAAAGGGTTTTTTGCGGGAGTTTTTCCTCATCCGCTGTGAGGGTCCTAAGGACAGAGGGATGTTGTATGCTGTAAAGCCCTGTGAGGCAAATTGTGATATTGGGCTTTATAAATAAAACTGAAAAAAAAATGAAAAGGCAAAAGTCACCAAGGACACTGAATAAAAAGAGAAAAGAAGAAATTTGCAAGTGTTTATTTGAGTGGCTTTCTCATTATCTCTTAACTCTTGTTGTTTGCAGAAAACTTGTTTTTTGGGAGTGGGAGAGGACCTAGAGAAGCTTGCCTTGTGTGCTGAACCTGCTAGGTCCAGCAATGAAGGAATGCCATCATTTATACCATTGTCGCTGTTGATATCCCTGTGCAGTATAATACACTGCAGGGTCCCAATGACCGACCTGCCAATTCTGGTGTTCTCTGGTGAATGCCAATTGAGCTGCACGGTGCTGTGAGCACAGGTCCCACTAGAGGACGTCGGGCCCTCATGCCACCCTCATGGAGTTTGTTTCTGACAGTCAGAAACATGCACACCAGTTGCCTCCTGGAGGTCATTTTATAGGGCTCTGGAAGTGCTCCTCCTGTTCCTGCTAGGTTGATGCCCTTCTACGGCCCTGTCCAGCTCTCCTCATATAACAGCCGGTCTCCTGGTGTCTCCTCCGTGCTCTTGAGACTGTGCTGGGAGACACAGCACACCTTCTTGCGACTGCACATATGGATGTGCCATCCTGGAGGAGCTGGACTACCTGTGTAACCTGATTGGGCTGCAGGTACCACCTCATGCTACCAGCAGTCACAAGGACACTAGCAGAACACAAAACTGGAGAAGAATCAATCAGGAAGGATAAGGAGAGAGCAATTACCTGTGACCACTACATGTAAAACCATTCCCTTTTTGGGGGTTGTCTTGCTTTTGCCTCTCCATTGCACCTGTTGTCACTCTCGCTTGCACCCAAGTAGGTGAAACTGATTCACAATCACTTGTGTTTCCTAAATGGACACATTGAAATCCCTATAGTTTAACTGACTTGGTGCTCCCTCTTTTTTTGAGCAGTATATGTCCCCACAATATGGGAACGTGCTCATCAAAACATCAAAACCTGGACCTCAACAATGCAACTGGTAGTTAAAAGCTCAAAAGGAAACCTTTAAACAACAAATTTTACTTCTTCTTCACACACTGTGTTGCTGACAGTGACTGGGATAAGAAAAGAAATCATACTTTGTTTCCTAACATATCAGTCAAATGTATTTTATTTACATACTGGTCAGGATAAATCTGAATTCGGTGAATGCACCCATGCATACAGAAAACCTTAAAATTCCAGCCGATGCCCTTCATTATCACAGCATATGATACGCAACTATGTGCTTTGCAAGTTACAGACAGAGCATTATACCATAACACATGGACATACACATCTTGTGCACGTTAAACACAGCCTTGCACTACACAAGGGTTCCAGCTGTATACAAGTCCTTTAATCAAAAACTGAAATACCAACGATTTTGAAATCCAATTAATATCCATGTATGAATTTACATAACGTATAAACCACACAACATATGGGACTGAACTTTTAGAGTATGTACACACGACTACATTTACAATAATACATTTTGTGAAAGCCTAAAAAGTTGTCGGTATCGTCTTTTATAACAAACTGCACTTATAATAAGAAAGCACGTACTGTATAATAGAAAGTAAGTGTTGATTTGCAAGTGTCAAAAATCATACACTGATTCTGTTTGACACATTTCAAGTATCTGAAAAACAATGACCACGGAGAGTATGAACAACTTTAGGAGGCTTCAATAAAAGATCAGGGTAGGGAAGGGGCTAAATTTTTAAACCCTCTCCTACCGAACAGATCTGAAATACTATGACAACAAAAAAAAGCTGCGTCGTTTCAGTCCACACTGTGCTATAGAGCAGTTGCAATACAAAAAACTCAGATTAGACCAACAAAAGCAGGGCTAAACTGACTCTGTGGTTGATACTTTGGGTTTATATCAGATTTGGAGTTCTAGATTAGAAATGATGACAAATACAATTTGTCTTTTACATACATTTTTTTATATCTCTAACCCTTAAAGAAATGTATACCATCTCTGATGTTTTGCTGATGGAAACAGTCATAAAATGCACCCCTGGCCACATGTTTTAACATCAAGCAAATAAAAAGCAATGGCTTGTGGTTAAAAGATCAAAGCAAGGCAAAAGCATACTCTCTCCAGGAGGAAATGAAGTGAATGTGGGCCTCTTAGCGTTGTGGCTGGTAGGCTGCCAGGGCTGTGTTAGGGTGGAGGACATTTCCATGGTAAGTAGATACATGCAGGTTTCATAGTAACAAGGTGATGGAGTGAGAGGGAGGCTGAGAAGACGCGGGGTGTGCTGCTGGGATCCGCCCATGACATTTCAATTCAGTCTTTTTATTCATGGACAGATGAGGGGGAGAGAGAGAGAGAAACCCACTGTTCTGGAGACGCACAAATTTTCGGATATTGTTCACAGAATGGCTGGGAGGGGTGGTGGCGCAGGGGGATGGGGATGAGGAGGGGGGGGGGGGGGGGGGGGGGGGGGGGGGGGGGGGGGGGGGGGGGGGGGGGGGGGGGTAGGGGTGTTACCCAGAGCCCGGGCAGAGTGAGGGGATGTCACAACAGAGTCAGTTCTCTTTGAGATGATTTTCCCTCTTGTTTTCTTTCTGCCTTTCTCTGTTCTGTCAGTCAGAGTCTCCTCAGGTTGTGCTCCTCCGTGCAGGAGCCTTTCCTCAGGGTGATGTCGTCCACAGCCATCTCGCCGCTCCGGCCTCGCCCACGCTCCCCCTTCAGGATCACCTGGTGAACAGCAGCAACATGCACACTGAGGTACTACCTACGCTTTATGATGAAAGACGTCTGGCATGCATTTCTACTCATGACGGACGTCAATCTTACATTTTTAAAGATCTACTCTTTTTAAATTCAGACTGCTGCTCTGATTTATTTTTCATAAACAGAAACAAGCATTTGACATACTGTCAAAAATGTCTGTAGAAATAATCATTTAAAATTCTCACTGTATGAGCGTAACGTCTTTGAAATGTTTACTGTGATACTTACACTTTCCAGGCCTGTGCCCCATAATGTGATTTGGGTGTGCCTCCAGCCATTTCCACCCGTCCGGCCCCACACTGCTGGACTGTACTGCTTTCCTTTCTTCACAAACACTTGCAGCATGCCCACGTGGTGACCTGCCAGCTTGTGACGGAATGACAGGCACAGATTGCCGTCGTTCCAGGGAGGGGTGAGTGGAAGGACCAGCCGTGCCCCTCGCCCTGTCCTCTTGTTGCCTACCTCAGGAATGGTGAGGTATCGTCCACCTGGGGAGGCAAGGAATGGATGTTAAGGTGGATGAATAAACCAAATATATTTTTGTAATCAAAATGAGCAACACTAAATTGTGCTAGTTAGCTTGTCAGGGAGGAGGCTTAATACCATTTTTAATTACCATTTTCACATGGCTCTTTGGACCTTTCACCTCAATACGTTATGAAAGTAGACTCTATGGATATCCACGAGTCACCCCTTTACAGGCATGCCCATTTTATGCTAGTCCCATGCAGCTTTTCTGCATGCAGCAGAAATGTTATTTTTGCCCATTGTATGTTAATATTTCTGCATAATGGGGTCCCTAAACAGTCTTGGAATCGCATAAATTGGGTATGACTGGAAAACTAACACTCTTGTGAATTCAATGAGCCCAATTTTATTCATGTGTGATCATGTTATTCCCCAAAGTAGCCATTTCATTGAAGCCAGACTGTATTTTTTAAAACATCACACATTAAAATGACCTATTGTGACCTCTAGGATAATCACAGCCTCATTTAACTTTACAACCAAAAACTAGAGACCTTGGGCATTCAGAGGATGTATGGCTTTTGTAAGAATATTGACAATAAGAGGGTTTCTTAGCATGGATTTTTCTATGCTGACTTAATCTGGTGTTTTGGGGGGATTTTTGACTTTTTTCTCATTTCTCAAGTGGACAAAATTGCTAAAATTTAGCAACAAATCTGTTTTGGGTGGCAGTAGCTCAGTCCATAGGGACTTGGGCCGGTTCAAGTCCCTGTATGGACCAAGTATGGAGCACAGTGGTGTGCACAGGTGGGGGGCAGGGGGGGTGGTCGCCCCCCCTCATGGCCCAATTATTGAAAAAGGCGCGCTAAAATGCCCTCTTGGGAGCCAAAACGCACGCTAAAGTGCCCTCCTGGGAGCCAAAACACATGCTAAAGTGCCCTCTTGGCAGCCAAAATGCCCTCCTGGGAGCCAAAATGCGTGCTAAAGTGCCCTCTTGGCAGCCAAAGTGCCCTCCTGGGAGCCAAAACACGCGCTAAAGTGCCCTCTTTGGAGCCAAAAAACACACTAAACTGCCCTGTTGGCTGGTTAAAACATGATAAACTGCCCTCTTGGGTGGTAAAAACGCGTGCTAAACCGCCCTCCTGGTTGGCAAAACACACTAAACGGCCTTCTTGGGTGGAAAAAACACACTAAACCGCCCTCTTGGCTGGTTAAAACATGATAAACTGCCCTCTTGGGTGGTAAAAACATTACTGTTGCAATGACTTTTATGTTGGGCCCTTTTTTGATCTATATTGAACCAGAACTATATCTCACAGAACCAGTTTGGATTGCATATTGGAGTGCTAATATGGTGTTAAAATGCACTAGAATACAGGAAATGGCATCTACTTAATTGAAAATTTTCAGGGGGAGGACCCCCAGACCCCCCCAGGGAGTTATTTCTTTCATACATCCATGTCTCTGTGTGTTCTTCACAGTCCAACGTTGAATCTACACAGTTCTCATGGATGCTGATCCTAACTACAGACTAACTTGAGTAGTCTGTCTAGTTAGTCTGTTTTAAGGATATATAATGTGACATTTGTATAACATATAAACATGTCGAAAGTGCCCTCGAACACACGCGGAACTTAGTGCCCTCTTCAGTGGCGAGAACACGCTGTATGTGCCCTTTTTTTTCTTTTCGCCCCTGCCCTTCAAAAAGTCTGTGCATGCCACTGATGGAGCATGGACTGGTAGCTGAAGAGGCACCAGTTCACCACCTGGGCACAGCTAAGGTGCCCTTGAGCAAATCACCTGCAACTGCACAGGGTACCTGTCTATGGGCAGCTCCCTGTTTGCACACACATGCACAAACAGGTCCTGTTTGTGCATGTGTGTGTATTTCGGGCCTGTGTGTATATGACAACAGAGTGAAAAAATTGAATTTCCCTTCAGGGATTAATAAAGTATACCTTTTTCTTTTTCCTCTAACAGATGGTATCAACTCAGATATTGCTGCAACAACTTATGAGACATAATTGAGCATGGGAATATCCATCATATACCTCCTTAAACCCTCTAAACTTTCTTCTATACAGGCACCTAACCAAACCAAAATGTTTATTTTGACTAGAAAAACTTGACACACAGTGCTGAGGTGCATCTCAAATTAATTTTCAGGTTCCCAGCTTTCAGATGATGTATACCACTTCTATTGGACATTTACTGTTGACCTGCTGTCTCCCCCTAAATGTCCCCTGTACCTCCTAAAAAAGACAAAAATTACTCTGTGGTGGGCCTCTGTGAATGTTAAACACTGGGCTGTAGCCTGAGAGTGTTGCACCTTTGCTGCTTGCAGCACACTTATATTTTTTCTCTAAATTTAGTGTGATTTATCACTTGCTCACCAGTGTGTCCTCAGTGTGCATGATGTCTGCATATTAATAGGCTTCATGGACTACAAACCTTTGTAAAATGAACTGAAACTGAACCAAACAAACTAAACTAAACTGATTTGAAACTAAAACAGTCAAGAAAAGAAATGCCACCATCTCTAATAATTAAAGGGGATTGGTTTATCCAAACAAACAAACAAAACTATCTGCATGGCTCAATGCTGCTGAGTAAGTGAGGAAAATATGCTGTTTTTATTTATTTATTTATTTGTTAAGTTTTTCTGCTTGCAAGATTTTTGCTGCCACCCCTGTAGAAGGTGCTGGACGGAGTTTAATTTGTGGTGCTTGCAACATTGAAAAATAACATTTGAAAAAATAAACAGAAACTTGGCTCTTTCCATGAACAATATCCAATTTATTTACTATTAGATAACTGACAGAGCTCAGCTTGAATTGTTTTTCATTGGATCTTTTTAACAGTCCCCACACACACTGTTGACAACAAGGTCTGTGGATTGTCCTGAGTCAGTGAAACATAATTTCTGGAAAGACAAGCTGCTGTTTAGTTTTCCACACTGCAAACTCGCAAATGCTGTTCTTTTTCAATGCTTTTAGCAATTAAATCCATCCATTCAACTTATTGTATTTGGCGCCAGCACAACTAGAAACTGAACCTAAAGAAGCAGCATGGCCTATTGCTATGTGTTAATCAGAAAATGTGTCCTTGTTATTGGAGGACATTGACTTTTCAAGAGAGCGTCACCATGTGGGCAGGTCTGCCTGTCCTTGCACACATAAAAAATATTTCAACCTTGACAGTCAAGTAGAAGAGAAACTAAGAAAAAAATGGTGAACTGAAAAACACTTGACCCACTTATGTTTCATCACCTCAAAGTATAGCCAGCTGCCGGTGGCAAATTTTTTTTTTTTTTAATCAATTCATGCATTAGTTAGTCATAACAGAGCTATATAGTTTTAAAAATTTAAAGGTGAGAGTGCTTCTGGGTGATAGCTGATTAATGCTGATGTATTTTGCTTATCTGGCAGATCTGTGCAGGGCTGCTGTTAACCACAGGGGGTGTGATAAGTATCTGTAGGCCACAGCTTTCTGCATAAGTTATGAGCCACCTCCAAATCTGTGCCAGTCCTTTAACAGCCATGAGTGTTTGCCAGTGGCTGTCTATCACAAAAACTTTAAGTGATGAAGAGTAAAATTTGCAAGCTTCACAACACACTGAAGACATGGTAAAAGCCATATATAGGTGGACACACTCATATATCTATAAATAAGATATTGAAATGCTCTGATTGAATCTATTCACCACATGCTTCTGAAAATTGAAATGTTAAACGTGTTTCCTCTCACTCAGGGCTTAGATTATGATTTACTGTAAATGATTTTCCAGGGAACTTAAAGGTCTGGGCAAAAATCCTTATTTCCTCTAATGAGTGAGTACAAACTTGGCTGAACTGAGGCCTCACTCTGAGTGTCTGGAAACACACTAGTAACTGCAAGACTAAGCCAGATGGCAGAGGAAGCCAGATGTAGTTAGTGTCGCTTATACAGTGCCAGTATGCTGCGCTGTTTAGTCTTCACACTCTCTGCTCTGAGTCTTTTCAACGTAATTCTTCACGTTTTCTCCTCATCTGAACCCCAAGAAAAACAGTGTCGTGTTCCCATTTAGTGTGAGCCACAGGTATCGCTGATGGGTCGTGTAATCCACTTCTCATTTGCATCGCTTTGTAGAGCAAAGCACTAATCCGCAGAAAAGACAAACTACTTCCCTCAAGTAATTTTCATCTTGACCTGTAATTGAGTAGAACAAAATTGAGCTGCTCAGATTGTCTGCCTCTCTGTGTGTTTGCATACGTGTGCGTGTCAGTGAAAGAACGCAGCTATTCTCATTTCCATTTACTGACTATAAAATAAACAATATTCCTTGCGTGCGTGTGTGTGTGTGTGTGTGTGTGTGTGAGTGATAACAGCCCTTCAATTACCTGACGGATCAGGCGTCGTCTCCCAGTGCAGGTCTCCGTCTTTGTCCCTGATCCAGCCACAAAGACCGTCATCAAAGGAGCAGCTCAGATAGCCCGACTCTGAAGAGAATAAAACACACTTTTCAGAGAAGTGGAGGACCCACACACATGCAAAGAGGCTTAATTCTGGTCTCTGTGATGCTTCGCAGGAGCCCCGCTGTGTGACTCCACGTTCCTGGGAACAAGAGTACTGTTGAAGCTCCTTCTGATAAGCATGATTGTACAATATAAATGTAAACATTTGCTGTATTGTTGTAATCATTGAGGACAAATCAAGTGGAAAAGGAGCTGCATAAATCACAAGTAGAAATGCATTTTCTTTAAAATACCCTGAATATTTGTAGATGAGTTGCTGGAATGATTACCAGCCATGACATTTTGCAATATTGTTTTCTCCTTGTGAGTCTGTGTGTATGTGTGTGTGTATGTGTGAGAGACAGGAAGTCATGGCAAAGTTTGGTCCTGGAGACACCTATTGTAGTGGGTTTTGCCAGGGGTTTATATGTCTGCCCACCTGTACAGATTTTGCCAATGCAATGCATCACAAGTCTGCAAGATGCAGCCACAAAACTTCACAGGTGTGTAGCTGAGAATGAAATAAAGCCTGAGTATGAAGATGGGTGTGGTCCGAGTAAAGGGGCCGGAATTAGGGGGGGTAGGAAGTAAGAAAGGAGCTATTAGACCTTCCACTTTACCCCTGGCTCACACTCATTTCAAGTCGCTGTATCGCGCCCGGAGTGATCCCATCTCAAGATGGTCTCTAGTATATAAGTGTCTGTGAATAAGAGTGAGTGCACTTCTACACATATAGCCTATCATATGCACACAAAACCCTACACCATAATAAAAGTACATTACAGTTACAACAGAGAGACATAATATTCAGTGACTGATGAGTTCTTCCCCAGCGATGATGCCTAGACAATAACATTAAGGGAATGCAGGCAAAACAGTTGCAGCAGCATCCATGCATTGCTGTGCAAATTGGTTCGGAGATAAGAATAACATCCATCATTTTGTCCCTGAAATAGGGTTTCCACAAAACACTTCGCAGTTCATTTTCTGAGCCAGTGAAAACGCCTTCTCACTTGACGCCGCATAGCAAATGATGCACCGTGACCCAAAATAAACACGCAACTAAACCATTAGGCAATTTAATCTGCATACCATTGACATCAATAAATCACATCGAGCAAATATGATGGATAAAATGCTGTCTCTTCACAAAAGCTCTTTTCTTATAGTTGCCATAGGAACTTTACACTGAGTGCTATGGAGCTCATGAGCGGAGCACTGATGTACTTCAAGTGATCAATTAATCATTCAAGCAATCAAGCAAGCATAATGTGAAAAGTGGAAAAGTCTGGCGGTGCATTCTGGGCTGTGAGCCATTACTTAAGCGGATACGGCCAGATGTCATGTGTCACCTCCTGGTGAAAGGCCTATCAAAACACATCTGGTCACTGTAATATCTTCGCCTCGGTACCAACCACTGCAGGAATTGATTGTCAGTTTCATTTTGCCCACAGCAAATGTGGCTCGTCTGTCATCATTTGAGGTTTGCAGTCTGCTACGAGCGGGGCTGTTGCTGATTGTCTCTGTCAAACGTGTTGTGTTTACCTGGGTCGTCCTTGGCTTCGTCTGCCGTGTTGCCGAGCTCAATGTCAAAGTCGATGCCAAGGACGGTGTTATGGCCGTGGTTCCGAGGGACTGAGGAGAGAGGTGAGAGACACAGGTTTAGATAAAGGATTAACAGGTATTATATTTGTCCACTGGCATCCCTGCTTGTGGCTATTGTGTGGCTTTCTTTCATTACTCTACAAGGACTCTGCAAGGATGAATCAATGTCATGGTTTAGTGCCTGCATATCCAGAGCTAAGCACATTTAAAAACACAGCACCAGACCAGAATACCTGAGAAAACCGGCAGAAACACTACAAGTCAAATGTGAATCATAACAAGCAAAAGGCCGATGGTTCATCTGATGCAACATGTGGGCAAATGTTGCTGCCACACACATACGCACATATATAGTACACAACACAGCCAGTCTGAAAATAGCCTCTTTCCTTCTCCAATGGGGTCACACTGCCCAAAATACTATAAGCCAAGTTGTCTTATTACTGTAAAGGTCGCCTGACAAGTGAAGCACAGAAAGTTCTTTCTCATACTTTTACAGTGGCGAGCCTCCTGTAGCGAAATGTGCTCTGGCTCTTTTACTCTTTTAGAATAAAAACTGTCTTTACTGGATTTACAATGCCTTTCATGAAGAGGTTCCAAAACACCATCATCTTAGTATGTTTTGCTCCAGATGAAACAAGTGAGGGGAATCTATTAAGACAAACTATCAATAAAAGTATTCCCAGCATCCCAGGCGGATTCTGGCTCCTATGCAATGAATGCACTGTAACCTGCACTTGAACCGTCGGCTCCCAGACTCGGCCCCCTCCAGTCAGCCTGAGAACTGAAAGGGCTAATCCCAACACTGGGTCACAACCACCTGGCAGACTGCGATGTAGTCTGACAGTCGAAGGAATCTGACAGCAGGAAGGTCACACTCACACCAGGCTCTCCAGCAATCCCAGGCATTCAGGACTGTGTATGTGTGTGTGTGTGTGTGTGTGTGTGTGTGTGTGTGTGTGTGTGTGTGTATTTGTGTGTCTCTGTGCTTTTAAGGAATGAGGGTCTCCTCCCGCCCCTTGATTTCCTGTGCCCGGTTGTAGAGCAGATATATAAAGAGTAAATACGACCACATGCCAATTAAGGGAGCAGTAATCTGAACGGTGACGCTGATGCTACAAGTATAAAATAGCTGCGCTGTGATGTCATTTTCTATGTTAAAGGGTCAGTTTAATCAAAGTACAAAATGTGTAAAGTAAAGGTATGTCACACTGACTGTATATAAAAATAAAAATACATATCCAAATGGCAAAAACAAGGAGATTATAATACCACGAGGAATGTGCTGCTCAGATAATTGAAAATGTAGACACTCTCAGCTATGTGTCTTTCCAGAAACAACATCCTGTTCACTTTGTCTGATCCACAGACCCTCACTGTTAACACTTTTCATTTTACTTCAGTCGAAAGTAGTTCAAATGAAAAATTCTCACAGCAAGGTCAGTGGATTATCCAGAGTATCTGGGACACTGTTTCTGCAAAGACAAATGTCTCAATGTTTTCCCAATGAATTCCTTTAATTCCATTAACCTCCACTGTGTTAGGGGAGCGATCTCAGATGTCTCAGAACCTCAGTGCATAATACTGTAACTCTGTGCACGGGCAGACACCACCAGAGCTAGGTTTGCAATTTGAGGGAAGTGACCCTGTTAACAACTTAGGGTGCATTTGTTCAACAACTATGTTGAAGCAGCTCATTGGCTGCCCTTATTTTACCTCTTGACCTTTTGCGGTTCATTTCATCCAAGTATTTGGGAGGCGAATAAAAGCTGCTCAAGGGGGATTTGCTATGTTCTGCCAAAGTGTTGAGCAATAACCGATTCTTGATATTTAATATTTAATTTTTTTTTCACTAAACTTTCCCTTTGTCAACATGTTATTAAATCATTATATTCATGTGTTTGTTTGTGAATCTAAACTTATTTTATGAAGTTCAGAAAAATATTTTTATCTTACTGGGTCAAGTAATTCTAACACAAACCCCAAAAAAACATTTATGTAATTCAATTAAAATGAGACTGAAAAGAATAGACCATGGGAATTTATGTTACAATAGGCTGTGCCTCGCCTGGAAAATGGACGAGAGCAGGCGGCTGCAGCAGGAGGCGGTGAAAAAAAGCTGCAGTGATGTCAGACAGTCTCCAGCAGCCTTCAGTCCGTACAGGAAGTCACAGACACACTCACATCCTGTCAGATATGATGTTGATTTATTAAATGTTATCAGACGCATATATCAGTTTGTTCTCAGTCTCCAATTGTTTTAATTACGGCAAATTGATTTATTAAAATGCTTTACCAGTGATCTGTAATTCATGTTCATGGTTCAACCTCTATTTTACATGAATTCTCATGCAGAGCATGTTAATGTTTTCAGAGGAAAGAAATACAAGACAACAGCTTTCATTAAAAATCAGTCAGGGCTTCACATCTAAATCTTCAAATCAGACAAATAACATCTAAATCTCTGAAATTCAACAAAAATTAAGTTTATCAAAACGTCATATTGTTAGGTCCACATCTAAACCAATCAGCTGTTAGAACAAATGAGAGCCAGGCGTTTCCCATCACGCCTTGGGTCTTGCAGTCGGTGGAGAGCAACTGCAGCGCTTGACTCTAAAAATTGTAGCCACCTCACTCTCGCGAATATTATCACTGTCTACTTTTGTAATACGCCAGAGCAAGTTGGGATGAAGTTGGACACAAAACTAACCAGCATGCATTGTGCAGCGATCGCTGGTGATCAAATCTGCGCAGGCCTGGCTCATCTCGAACGAGCCTTATAGCTCATGGAATTTACCTTATTTACTTTGCATAAACTTTATCTGAGTAAATTCAATATATTTTAAATACACATAATTTATTAACAGTAATTACATAATTATGTAAACTCCCTGAGCTATAGTTACATTCATTTTCATTGTCTTTTCATCTGTTTAATTTGATCTATGTACATACATCTTATTTTTTGGTTTATGTTAGAAGTGTAAATGGACTGCACTTGTATAGCGCTTTTCCAGTCTTCCGACCACTCAAAGCGCTTTTACAATATGAGTCACATTTACCCATTCACACACACATTCACACACTGGTGACCAAGGCTACCATACACAATGCCACCTGCTACTCAGTAACCACTCACTCGCACTCACACACAGATGGAACAGCCATGGGCAGCAGTTTGGGGGTCAGTATCTTGCCCAAGGATACTTTGACGTGCAGACTGGAGGCGCTGGGGAACAAACCGCTGATATTCCAATTAGTGGATGACTTGCTTTACCCCTCAGCCACAGCCCCCCAATGACTGGGCCCAGTTGGGTGGACATTTTAAATGTAATTGAAAAATGTAAACTTGACATCACACCAAATAATTTCTATTAGCTACAGAGGTTTGAGGGTTTTCTCAACCTACAGAGGATCATGTACTCATTAAAAAAAAAAGATATATTTAGATATCAGGAAAAATGTTTAATCAATTTCTTGCTGAGAGTTGGATAAGAAGACTGACACCACTCACATGTCTATAAGTACAGCTACTAACTATAAATCAGACTGCCAGAACCTTTAAAGCTCATTAATTAGCACTCTGTCTTCAATCAGTGCACAAACGAGTATAAAAATGAAAACTGTTATCTGGCTTGAAGCGGTGACTTCCTGGAGTTTTGTCAGCTGCTCACATGGCTGCAGATTCACACTTGAAACACACACACACACACGCACACACACACACACACACACACACACACACACACACACACGAGTTATCCTCTCATCTAATTCTTGCCAGGAAATTAAATTTGTGTATTTCCCCAAAATATTGAACTGTATCTGAACTGCAAATACAAAAAGGTTGGAGGCACAAGGTTTCACTGGACACACTCCGACTTCTGTAAACACCTGCACTCGAGGCACAGCTGAGGTGTTCTTCACGCCACGAGGCTCTCATTCAAATGATTCCCATTTCCGTCTAATTATTTGAATAATCACTCAGCAGTGTCTCTCCTCCCTCCCACTCTCATCTTATTCAAACCATCTTCGGCAGCTCTGATTTCTCGAACTGCTCTGCCGTGGTGCAAACTATTAGATTGATGTCTCCCTCAAGCAGTGCAGACAGGTGTTAATGTAATCTTCTCTCCTCTTTCCTTTTTCTAATTATGTGATGCCATCTGGCAAGGTGAGTCGGAACCGCAGTATCTCACCTCTTATCCTGTACTTTTCTGATGCATCTCACCAGATATTTCTACACCAAAGGAGCTGAATGTTAGGTTTTGGTTAACTCTGACTTTTGTTGCGCTCACTAGTGAGCATGACACCACAAACGAGTAGGGGGACACTTCTATTGTCGTTCAATTACACTTTTAACGTAATTTATTCTGTTACTGCGTCTGGACCTAAGATTCCAATAAGTCTCACCTTCTGGTGCGTCTCGATATGGCTGTATATCATCATAATGTGCAAATATACTGAAACTACACATTTGAGTTCCTGGTTAGAATGTTTGTTGTATGCAGTGAGCGCTCAGGGGAAACAATTAGAGGGATAAAGCTGGCATTATTCTATATTTGTGTTATTGCAAATAAATCCTTTTGATACTCTCAAACATCCCATCTGTGACACTCAGTGCTTTAAAGGTAACTTATTCTTGCTGAAGAAGTTAATCTTTAAATGTGTCTTCTTTAAAAGGCCGAGTCATTTTCCAAAATACCTGGGCAGTGTACTTTTCCACAAATTACTCTAAATTGAGTAAATACTGCATTTGCTGGGAACTGTTCCACACTGTAGATGAATATGCATTTGGTGCTCCTTTGGTCTTTTCATGGGATTTGTTGACAAACAGAAAACTGTGACTTTGGCCCTGAACTGAATGCTTCAGTTTCAAGGAGTGACGTGCCACAGGGATTATCTCATTAACAAGCAATACACCATTATGAAAAGGTGCGTGCATTTCACAGTGTGAGTAGAGAGCAGCAGATGATTGCAGTGATTATTACCTTCTTTGTCAAGGCAAAAAGAGAAAATCTGGACCGCCTCTCATTACTACGGTATTTTTGTGATTCAGTTCCATGATTTAGGTTTGATTGAGAATGTCAAACTAAAACAAAGACTGATGATGCATTCTGAATGTAATTGGTGTCATAGACACATGCTTGGCAGGCAGCGTGGTGTGACATGTGGATAAACAACAGCCTGGCTGTGAACCAGATTTAGTTTGTTAACTGAAGCCAAAAATATAATTACCTTGAGAGGGAAATAGACTTAATCTAACACTTAGCAGCCTACTGGAATTACTTAAACTTATTCATCATACTGTAAAAATGGGCATTTCTTCATGACAGCGGCATGGTAGTGAAGAGGTTAGCATTGTTGCCTCACAGTAAGAGGGTTCTTGGTTCGAACCCGGGACGGGGGGTTGGGACCCCAGGGTGGGGTAGAGTCTGAATGTTCTCTGGGTACTCCGGCTTCCTCCCACAGTCCAAAGACATGCAGGTTAATTGGTGACTCTAAACTGCCCATAGGTGTGAATGTGAGTGTGAATGGTTGTCTGTCTCTATGTGTCAGCCCTGCGATAGTCTGGCAACCTGTCCAGTGTGTACCCACCTTTCACCCAATGTCAGCTGGGATAGGCTCCAGCACCCTGCAACCCCCAAAAGTGATTATGGAAAATGAATGAATTTGTTCACGAATCTGCATAACATACTGTGACATGAGGGTGGATATACTTGATCATATGAGAAAGTAAAGTGTTACAGGGAGACAACTACCTGAAAGCATTAAGACAAAGAACTCTCATTGCATTACTTTGAATCTGATGTCGAAAGAACTTTGATTTCAACCATTTCCACCAGTTTACATTAAAAACAATCTCTCAGATTTCTTTTTAAATGTTAAGCATTACTTCTTTCATGTCGTTAGCTGGCAAATAAACTTTGTACACATGGGAGCTGACTGCCAACTGTTCCACACCATGTGTGCACATATTCATGTGTTTGAATACAAAATGAATATGATAATACCCATCATCTGTCGGGTAAACATCACTTCTGATTCCCCAGATGGTGACATGTGTCATAATAAACACAATGTTTCTGGATTCAGATGAAGAAATATGCAAATATGCTCCAATTTAGTGAGCGGAAACCTGTCAGGAAGCTGATGAAGATGAATCCGTAGACAAATAAGTGGCTTTTAGTGTCAAAGTCTGTGACCCGGAAGAAAACAGAATGTTCACCTCACTATCAAACATAAATTTACAGAGATTATAACCTGATAAAGCAACAGGTTCTAATGTTTTCTATTAAAGCTGCTCTGAAAGGCTAAATATCTTAAATGAATATGTGTATATGTGTGAAAGGTGTTGCTTGTGGAGATGAACCCGACGAGAATTATCAGTCAGCATAGCTATATGGAGCATTTTAGCATCTTTCAGCTCATCATTTTGCTTCTACAGCACACTCCTTTCCTGTTAAGGTTCACTCTCATCATTCTTATCAGTGTCATCTCCAGACACAGCACCTGTTTTCAGTGAAAAACCTCCTCACATCCACTGTACACTACCTGTTCAGTGCAAAACAGCATTTAAGAGAGCCAGATATTTCCCTCTGGAGTTGGGAGAGACCATAAACTGTTTATAAAGATGGACGAGATGACAGCTCCCTAAAAATGAAGCCAAAACATCTCGATCGCCCCCTGGTGGCTGGCTGCAGTATAGGTCTCAAACCCCACCCACTACATGTTAGTTTATGGTACACTGGCCAAACTAAAAGATCAAACTACACGTCAAATACATTTTTCTCAATGATAGGTGTATGTTCCAGTGTTCATTTTTCTGATACGTTTGCTTTTACTGGTTATTTGATGCTGTAATTGGTGTACTGCTCGCAATTGGTGTATGGTGTATGGGTGGGAACTCCATACCACAGAGATCGCCACTGCGCAGACACTGGCTCTAAATGACGTCACCAATGCAAGATGGCACCGGCTGTATCAGGGATGTTTTGGCTTCATTTTTGTATCATGCCACGAAGTGGAGGCACATCATCCATCTTTATATACAGTCTGTGGTTGAGACCAATAGCAGAGCTAAAAGGAGAGTAAATATGGGATCTTATTTTTGTCAGGTGGGCAGAAACACAACTCCACATAAATTAAAATTATGCTGCGTATCTCCTGGACATGTAAATAGACAAGGGCTTGCTAACAGGTTTTATATAACACCTTCATGTACTGCCCCCAAGTGGCCAACAAGTGGCTGACACTGTTAATATTTGTAAAGAGGCCTACAGTTACCTTCGCCAAGGAGGTTATGGTTTTAGTTCAGTTGTTTGGTGGTTTGTTTGTCTGTTTGTCTGCAGAATTACAGGCCCAGTTTTCATAAACTTGTTGGAAGGCTGTAGTCTGAACCAAAAAGGAACCGACTACATTTTGGAGTGGATCTGGGTTGCGGGACGAAAGCACAAATTAATTTTCACTGTTGTTTACATGGTAAGAAAGGGCATTTGGTCTTGGTGGAGGTCTGTACTCTCTGACTGCCCTTCTTGTTTCGTGTGTGATCAGTTAAAGAGAGACCCAAAATGTTGATTTCCCATCTATTACCCTAAACCCTTCAGTTATGTTGTTGAATAACCCTTAGATTTAGATAGTGTAATAAATGTCATCTACAAACACTCAAACAGAATAACATATAGAGCTAGTTCTTACTGTGGACATCCCCTCTCTGTTTGGTGACCTCCTTCTGGATGGTGTTGTCTACTGGTGTGACTGGTGCGCCTGGTGCTGGCGTGGGGCGTCTGGTTGGAGCCGCTGGCTTTGGTGGGATGTAGGGCTTGTGCGTGGGTGCTGGTGGTTTCCTGGTCGGGATAAAGGGCCTCCTGGTGGGAACTGCCGGCTTGCGTGGAGGTGGGGTGACCCTCTTCGGAGGTGCTTTGGTCGTTGTGGTTGTCGTAGTCGCGGCTGTCGATTTGGGGATAATGGGGAAGATCCTCCTTTGAGTCACTGGTGGGTGGATGGTGGTGGTGGTCCTCCTCTGATCAATGTCAGGGATGTGGTTGTGATGATTTGGAGGCAGTTTGCCTGGTCTCGGGGGGTCAATAGCAACCTTAGGAATGGCTGAAATAATAAGAGAATGCAGATGGAGTACTGAAATATGAGCACTTAAGAGGTAATGAGGTGTAGAATTGCAGATTAACTGCGATGATTAGTCTGACTTTTGCAGAGGCGGGCTTTCTTTCATCTACAGAGACATCTCCTGATATCCTTTAACTAAATGTTAGCATCCTAAAACAAATTGGGTGCCTCAAATCTCACTGAAGCAAAGGCTCACCAAAGAAAGGCCCATAAAATCATTTATTCATTCATTTGGGGCTTTTTAAAAGACAATCCTGGACATGTTTTTCTCAATGGGACTGGTAAAAGAGAGACGCAGGGAAAGCTGCGTGCAACATGACAGGGTGCCTTCACAAACTAACCCACAAAGACACCACACGTCCACTGAATTTCTGCTTTTGTGAAATCAATATTGCTCTCTGACAGTGGCTTTTTATCCATTCATGCGCTCGACCTGATTAGTAATTCTTTGTGTGTTCATAGCCAGGGGCCTCACAGCATCAGGCTAAAGCTGCTCTGTGTGTGCGGAATGAACCCTGCACTCAAACAGGCTGCTGTGCCCCAGAGATCACCCTCGCTTTGCTGATGTCATCAAAGTTACACCTCCTTTTCCTTTGTTCCTCAGCACATTCTTAAGTCAGAAGCAGAGACTAAGACTGGGGGTGGTGGTGTGATGTGGCGGTGGTGGGGGGGCTTCATAAGGGTTTCATGAGTGAGGAATGAGAGTGGACAAAGGCACGATGTTTGAACTCAGTTATTGCCTTCTCAGGTTGCGGGCGACTTTGATATGTGATACACAAATAGGATATTGCAACTCGACTCCCGGAGCACTTGTGGCTCACACCCCCTTGGGCAGGCGACAGGGTGAAATATTTGCAGCTCACTACACCAGGAGGCATCCTCTCTACTCTATAGACTGCTACAGCAGTTGTGTCTGTTAGATGATTAAATAACTGTGGAGAATAAATGACTTCTTGTCCACTGAGCGGCTGTAAAAAACTGCAGACGCACAGACTAATGAACTCTGTGTCGGCAAGCAAAATGAAACAAACTACCAGGAAAAGAAATATATCACATTTGATGATGACTCCTCTTTTTGGCTGATTAAAATGGCCAGATGTCAGAGAGGAGTCAAGGCTCACTCTGGGCACATATGATAAAGGAGTAGGGTGATTCAAGTAATGACTGACAGCCAATACAAAGGAAGGAATTTCAGTCCCGACTCTGTGCTTGTGAAGCTATTCCTCCCTCCTTCTTGCTTTCCTGGCTTTTTAAAAAGCACGGGCAGAGAAAACAAAAATGTGAGGCCCCGCTCCTCTTTGCAAAAGTGAGCATCGGGGCCAAGGGGTTTTGGTTCTCAGCTCTTACGTTTGCAGTCGTGGCCCATCCCCCTGTAGCCGTCTTTGCATTTGCACTTGTACGAGCCTGGCGTGTTGTAGCAAGTGGCGAAGCTGCTGCAGTGGCTCTGGCCTAAAGAGCACTCATCCACATCTGAAAGATAATGGAAACATAACAGCATTCAGCTACTGGGTGCAAGTGTGAAAAACCTTCAGACGCAACAGAGGAATATCAAAGGATAATTGCTTCGCATCCACTTCAAGGAGGGCTCAAAGTTTATGTCACACGTACTTTTAGTGAAAGCATTTAAGTGAATAACAGTGATCCCTCTGTGAATGCCAGAGCAAAATGAGAGTTATTCATCAGAGATCCTCTCTGACACAGAGCTGGAGGGTCTTTGAAGCATTTGAAGCAGAACTACTTTAAAAAAATTGCTCTAAAAAACAAAATTAATAAGTAAAGATTGGAGATGGTGCATCTTCCAAATGCTGCTAAGATTCAGTGTAACCCTATGGATGTGTGTAGAATATATGATATGGTTTAGTATGGTGTTAACGTTTATTTGATAGGGACAAATACAATATGGATATAGTTTTGCAAGACAGTTATCCAATGCAATGTATCTCAGTGATAATTTGTAATGCCTGTCCTTAAAAGGCCCTTCAAAATAACACATATGAAAGACATGAGCACAGACAACGAGGGAAAACATGTTGTACATTTTGCTGACCTTATAGAAACACCAGTGCAACTTGCCGGCATACTATATACTATAAATATACTATATATAATCTTAAGTATTCTAATTCTTTATTTAGTATTTTCTTCATCTATCGCTTTTACTACAGAGCATTGCAAATGTAAATGAATGGAATCAGTGATCCTACTTTGTGAGATGGACTAAACTGACTTCGATATGTATCTGTTTTAGATCACTTTTCAAGTTCCTAAGCAGTGGTATATTTTACATGTGATGCTATACTGTATTATATTACATTGCAGGTCTCAATACAGTAAAATCAACTTCTTAAAAAGGAGTTAGCACCAGTTAAATTCACTTATCAAAATGTTACTTTATCACTGTGATAGAATAAAACAAAGTACATTTACTCAAGTATAATTATGAGATACTTTTGAGTATTTCCACATTTTTCTAGTCTGTACTTCTGCTTTACTACATCTAAGATGAAAATATTGTACTTTTTCTACATTTATTTGGTAGCTTTAATACTTTACAGATTCCAATTAATAATACAAAATAAAATTAACAAATAAATGATAATGTGTTATGTATGAAGATAAGACTTGACTGCTACCTGGTAAAGGTGGGGCAAAAATGTATACAGCATAGTATCGCCATATTTTTCATGGCAAAATTGTATCGATACAAGAAAGCCAAGTATTGATTCTTTCTCTATATAAATGATCAATATTGCAACTAAAAAATAAACTTTGGTAGAGAACTAAAATACTAGAATAATAAAATCAGTTGCCTTTTCTGTCCTTTCGATACATTTTGCTGCAATAAAAAAGGACTGACATTAGATGAGCAGACTGAAACCTTATTAGATATCATATCATGAGGCCTCTGGTGATTCCCACTCCCACTACCAAGCAGTGCATATAGTAACGAATAAGCCCATCTCCAACATGAAAGTAATGTATACATTAATGCATCACTAATATATTATATATCATACTGAAATGGAGCACTCTGCATAATGAGTAGTTTTCCTGTTTTGCACTTTAAGTACATTTTGATGTGCATATTTGTACCTGTACTTAAGCAAGGTGCTGAATGCAGGGCTTTTACCTGTAACAGAGTATTTCTATGATGTGGTATTAGGACTTTACTGGATTATTATTACTGATGTTGTAGCAGTTCAAGGTAAAGCTAATTTGAATGTCAATGCTGAGTGGATAAATCTATAATAATGCGTCATGTTTCATAAACTGATCATGTGTTTTGTGTGTAAAATCTTAATCTGCAAAGCAACTGCTAACTACAGCTATCAGATGAATGCAGAGGAGTAGAAAGTAAAATATTAGCCCCTGAAACAACACAGTGAAATGGCAGTATAAAGCAGCATAAAATAAGTAAAATAAAATAAGTCTGTCATAATTGCATAGAAGAACAGTAACTGAGTGGTGGTTATCTTCTGAAGTTGCAGGAGAAAGTATTAAAGCAGGCACAAATTGCACCAGACTATTATTAAAAGTGCATTTTTTTTAATGTGTTAATATGTGTGTGTGCCATCTTTTCTTTTCCTCAGTGTCTGGTGTAAAAGCAAACCTGAATCACTAAAAATAACCTGGTCATGACTCAAAACAAGTGCATCCATGACCTTTGTAGGTTTTATCTGTAAAAGCCTCACTGAGGAGACCTTGTGACAGTACCTATGCATTGGTATTTCCCATTGATGTATTGCAGGTCAAAGCCTTCGTGGCACTTGCAGATGTAGCTACCAAAGGTGTTTATGCATTTCCTGAACCTGGGACACACCGCGATCCCTGCTGCACACTCATCCACATCTGCAAGAGGAGAAATCAAAGATGCAGGTTATTACACAGGAGAAAATATCCAAATTAAAACGTAATGTATTCATCACTTTTTACTAAAAACTTCTTTTAGAGTTGGTCACATACAGTACGTAATGCATTCAAAATAACACAACGCAATGAAAAACTTCAAGGTTAAAGAAAAAGGCAATTGAATCCAAAACTAAGCAAACATCTCTGTTCGTACCAGAAGACTTTTTCACCTCCCCTGGTTAGTATTCATTTATGAACAAAGCACATTAGGTATTCTGTTCAGCAAGCAGAATACAATGCACAATACCTTGTTTCATTATTTAAAGACCTATTCTAAGTGTCTCTGTTGATCACCTTTGCAGACATGTGGGCATTAATATTTAGACGCAGGAGAGGCTCAACGCATTTGCCTTAAAATCATTAATTTATTTGCTGCATAATGCAGCTGAGGCGCCGCGGCACTACAGGGACTGTTGTTTAAAAGGACCTTCAAAACATAGAGACACCTGGACCAGCTGGGAACACAAGCGAGTGAAGTAAGTGTGCAGAACTCTCTTATCCCCTAACAACTACTGTTGAGGTTCTCATCAGCAAGTGCTTAATCCCAAACTGCTCCAGTGGAGCTGCCTAATGGCCAACAGTTGAATTATTTAGCTACTGACAGAGGAATTGTGAATGATCATGTTTTACATAACACACACATTTGCACACATAAATACAGTCACTGTCAAAATGAATATTAATATTGCTCATAAATGCCTGTTTTAATGAACATTACATCTGGATTTGAAGATGGCTCCGACTGGATTTTTCAAAGCAGCAAATCTTTACGCATCAGATTAAAACCCTTATTCATAGTTACATTATACATCAGCCGATATTAAGCCCCGCAATTGTGTTTTACTTGACAACTTGTCTGATACATTAAGCGATTTGTATGAGAGGCAGCATTGAAATATGAAGCTGTCTCATACCAAACTTCTGCAACAATGCAAAACATCAATACACTTTGTCATTAATTTTCTGTCACAGTGCAAAACAAGTCGATACTTCATCCGAGTGGATCATCAGACATCCTTCTTAAGGGGATTTCTGGCGTGATCCATTTTTATTACACGAATAGCAAGTGTTCATTAAAAAAAGGAAAAAAAAAGGCAATACGAAATTTGAAACATTTCACATCAAATCATGAATCCAATTAACCAAAATATATTTCGTCAACCATCTGGTATGTATCTGTCAAACTGCTACAAGTTCAATTTTGGACTTAAGCTCAAGATAAAGGGTGAAAATTCTTCACTTTCACTGCTACTTGCAAAGAATAGAAGCTCTTCATCAAATCCTTTATGACATAGCTTCCATAAGTCATTTATCAGGGGTGCAACACAACAACACAAATAAAGCTGGCACTGATTTTGTTTTCAGTCTCTTTTCATGTATCTTCGCTGTCTGCACTTGTCAGCGTGGTAGATATGGTGATTTCTGCTTGTTATATCGTCCACCAGCTGCAGAATTTCTTTCCTGCAGTTTGGTTTTCTCTGTGTTTCACATTGTGCTAATTTCCTTTTATTTCCTCCTACATAATTCATCCACATTTATATATCAAAAATAGTAGATAGGTGTTGATTTCACATGTTAATTAGTAGTGGAGCTGTTTCATACAAATTAAAACATTGCAAATTATTTATGAACCACAGGGCTGAGTTAATCTTTGACTCTGGCTGCCTGTTTTTAGAGATTGCAGCAAAACAGGAAATGCAGACTTGAATTCACTGTCCTCCATTCACTGTGCTTCAATAGAAGTGAATGGGAGATGGAGCGAAGGATGGCAGTGTAATGTGACTGTACCTTTACACTTTTTTTTTTTTTTTTAAAAAAAGGGTAAGTTCCTTGATAAAGAGTCTGGTTCTCCACGCTCAGCTCAGGATGCTTTTACTACTTAACTAGATTTCTGGAGCATTCATAAGCAAATGCTTGATAAACATGGGCCCAGACCACTTTTAAAGCTACAACAAAAAGGTGTTGACACATTTCACATGAGTAAAAACTGCTTTTTATCTGACTCTTCCATCTAAAGCTCTGGTTACTGGAAGGAATCACCTCCATAAATATGATTAGAAACTCTCCATAAAACTCTCCATAAAGCATCAGCTTCTCCGGGGATTCGGAAACATTCCCTGAACTGTCGTAACACCTGTTGCAGGCAACCTTTTCTTCCTCTCCTCCATCATTCTTCATGATTGATGAGCGTCCTGTTTTAGAACACCGCCCCCTATTAGCCAGCCCCGACTTAAGTGGGACTGTAAGGAGGCGTAACAGGAACAGTCTCGTCTGGAGCAGCCTAAACCTGACACAGGTTAACTGCCTCAACTGCCCCCTTCCTCTGTTAGCTACCTATCTGAGGAGCTGCTCCATATAATAGAGGAAAGAGGGGAGGATAGGAGGAGGATAGGAGGAGGGGAGAGGGGTGGGCTCCCCCTGATCGCATTTCTGCTGTAACAGCTGGAGGAAGTTAGCAGAATAAAGTCACCATTTGGTTGGCGAGGCCTGTTAAATTGTTGGGTCTGTGATCAAAGATAAAAAAAAGGCGAATTGGTTAATTTAGTTGTATGAATGTGGGCTTCGCTCACTAATAGGTTTTGTTCGAGTTCCAAAATTATATTTTCACAGCCAAATTTTCTTTCTTACTCTGCCAAAACTGTTGCATTTGATTATCACTCAGCTAATTTAAAAGCTGAGAAGAACATAAAAAAAATTAATGATAAATAAATAAATAATAATTGTTTGTGATGCTTTACATGAGCGGCTCATGGAAGGGAGTGGTGGCACCAGGCTCAGTTTTCAGGCCTGTGGAGATATATAAAGACCAGGACGTACCCACACAGGTTCTTCCATCCGGAGCCAGCTGTAGCCCCGGCGATGGACACTGACATCGGACCTCTCCTTTCAGCACCTCGCAGCCGTACTGGCAGTTGGCCATGCCACAAGTGCGAGCGTCTGACGGACACAAGGGAAACACAACACATATTAACACATGATGGTACCACAAGGGAGAGAAGGACGGGGGTGGTGGGAGTAGGGGGGGTTGTTTGTAATGCTCACGCTCACTTTCTTTCCTTCTCACATCCACACTCACACTCTATCCTCCAGCTAGTGTGTGAGTGCCAGGCCGCTGCCTGCCTTTTCAGATATTAGCCGAGTTGACCCTGAGGTGCAGACAACAGAGCAGCTCACACTCTGCCATTATTAGATTCCTGTGCTGCGCAGTCACTCTAGGCTCACACCTTAGCCCACGCAATCCTCCCTCATCCACTTTCATCCCTTCCTACACCTAAAGAATCGTAATCCATCTCCATCCTATCGAAGTGTGTGCAGTGTGTAGCGCCTCTGTTGTCGAGCCTTGCCGGGCAGATCAAGACCCTCCAAAATAATAACATAATGGAACAGATTTTGTTCGGCTTCTCTCAATAACTTCGGATCCTAAAAAGGAAATTAAAAGTGAGGCTCATGCTGCCGTTGCCACTTCGGCTGCTGCAGGCACCCTGGAGCACAGTTTGATGACTGAGGCAGGCCGGGCTGATTAAATGCTACAGCAATCTATTGATCAAAGCAGTAGCAGGGGAGAAAAGAAGAGCGGTAAGGTGTTTAACACTATCATGCTATCATCACACAACAACACCTGGAATAGTTTGAGATTGCCCCAAGTGGTGAGCAATTCAGACTTTAAAAGGGGGGAAAATGAATTTTCTCCTGATAAAAAAGAACTAATTAAAATGAGGCACTGAGAGTCACGCCATGCTCGAGTGGAAACGTGAGGAGAAAATAGTTATCAGGTGGGAAACAGAGTTTACAGAGAGACATGTACAGGCATTAACTCCCATTCTGCAGAATACCTCAGGGCAACCAATGAGAAGTGCACATTCACTCAAGGGTCTTAAGATTGTGTTTCTTTCATACTTTTCATTTTAGGCCTCTTAGGGTTCTTCAGAGGGGTCCTTCAGACTGCGGAGCTGCTAGAATGAAGCGGATCAACGTGGGGCTTTAATCAAAACAGTCTATCAAAGGACTGCGAGGCTGCTGTCAGAGGTACTCACACAAGTGGGAAAACGTATTTTATAATAGAGAGCATATGTCATCAGCATTGCTTCGCACTGGCATTCAGATGAATACATTTGTAGTTAAGTGAATAAAGGCTTCACAGTAGCACACCCAGGCTACAAAAAGAGCGACTGAGAAAAAACATGAGGCAGAAAATAGATCAGGGATGAGAATATCTACATGTCAGACAACAAAACAAACAGAGACATGTGTGTTTGTGTGTGTGAGCGACAGACTCACTTCCACAGGTCCCATCAGGCATCAGCATGTAGCCGTTGAGGCAGTAGCACTTGTAACTCCCATATGTGTTCATGCACCTGTGTTTACAAGGCCTCGGCTTGAGCCCGCACTCATTCAGGTCTGCAGACAGAGAGAGACGGCATAAGTGGACTGGAGGACAGAGAAAGACAGACCCTCCGTCACAGAGGTGAAATTAGTCAGAGGGCAAAGGTGAAGAGGTCAACGCTGTCAAACCTCACCCATCCATTTAGGTGTGTGTCTGTGGGTGTGTTTATGTGTGTGTGTTTTGTAAGGGGTGGGGGTGTCTTCGAGGAAGTGCCGTGTTCTGACAAGCCTGTAACTTCCCTCTTTGATGATTTAACAGGAAGCCAGTGTCAGCTGTCAACCTGCCCATTACCTGCAAGTGATAAAAGATGCTATTATACCCCTCTGACTCACCACGACCTCATGTGGTTGTGGCTGCAAAATCCAACACTCTTTGATAGCTACATATAATTCCGGTGTTTTTATGCAGACATAAAAGTAGCGAAATCTCACCCACAACAGCCCGTGAAAATCGTATTAGAAAATGATGCTGTCTGACTTCGGAGCAGGGAGGGCTCTTGGGAGAAAGGAATATGCCCTGAGCTCAACACCTGTCAAACGCTTATGCAAATTCAAGTCATTATACCCTTCTCACTGCACAACATTTATACATTTCAGTCGCAGGGCCCTGGTGTTATGTATGTTGCCTCACAGGAATGACTTGCTGACAGAGCTACAGCATTAATGTTATTAGTTACACCTGTGTACTCTCTGCTACGACAAGTCCTCCGCGTGAAGGGTTTATGGTGGCGAAATTAAATAAATATTTTTCCGTTTACTTACTCTTATTGTATATTTCTCTGAAATCTTATTTCAAGGACTGTAACTAAAGTAAAGTGACGTTCCCAACATAAAAAATGTAGCAAACCAACCAACCAAGAGCGAGACAGCTCTGTAGTACTTTGACGTGCCATAGCAGGAAACGCACAGGTGTAACAAATAACATTAATCATGTCCTCATTCCACTTTGATATTTCAGTCACAGGTCCTTGGTGTTGTGTATGTCACCTCCCTGGGATAACTCACTGACACTTCTAATTGGAACAGAGACACCATTAATGTTCTTAGTTACACCTGTATACTTCCTGCAACGACAAGTCAACGTGTCGATCATTCAAAATGCTTATAGAGGCTGAATTAAGGATGTAAACAGGTTTATTTTTTACTATAAACTGCACTGAACACATTTTAAAGAATGTAAAGTGATGTTCAAAGCATCCCATGAGAGCGTGATGATGTTACATGGCAGGTATTTTGACATGTCACAGTATTAAACACATAGATAACTAATAGCATTAATGATGCCTGCATTCCATTTAGATGTGTCAGGTACAGAGCCTTGATACTGTGTATGCTGGCTCCTTGACGTACCTGAATTAAACAGCCACATCATTGCTGTTACTAATAACACCTGTGTGAAAGTGCTGTGCTTTGATTTAGGTCCTGTCTACACCGTAGACTGTATCAAACATGAACGACATGACCCCACAAAAGTGAAGCCAAAACATCCCGATCGCCCCCCTGGTGGCTGGCTGCAGTATAGGTCATACACTGACGGGACATGGGCCAAACTCAACGGCCAAAGTACACGCCAAATAAATTTGTCCAAAAGATGGTTTCTCTCATTTTAGAAGGCTCTTATCACACTGCTGTACGTTCAAGTTGTATTTTACAGACGTGTAAATGGGCAGGAACTTGATACTGTAGAGATCACTACTGTGCAGACTCCAGCACCAAATGGCGCTACCAGCGTAAGATGGCAGTGGATGTGTCCAGCATATTTTGGCTTCATTGTTGTACAGTGGAGATGCATCATTCACATGTAGTCTATGGTCTCAACATATACATATATTTTTGAAAATGGATATTATCCTCTACATTTGGCCTCTTATCCACACCCGAACAGAGTTTTAGTTCTAAAATGAAAAAGCCTTGTAAGATGCAATTCTTGTATTCTTTGTATCCTTGCGGACATGTAAAATGGAGCATTTTGGAAATGATGACTCTTCAACTTGCACATGCCTATTGTTCTCTCAGAAGCAACAACAATAGTGGACTTCCTATTTCATTACTTTCTGTTAGCTCTGCTCAGTCTAATGACTGCTTCAGACTGAAAGTTAGAACTGCTGCGCCACTTCACCGATGAAGGGAGGCGTGTGCTGTGCCTAGCATTATTGGTCCTCCTCAGAGTCTGCGGTTTGAAGTCCAACAGAAACAATGGTTTTAAACAGGTCCAGTCAAACCAGCAGATGGTGGGACAATTTTGATGAGGAGTGGAAAGTAAACATTTTTCCTATAAGAGCATCATTCATATCTTTGAGTTCCTTTGTCTTTATATCAAAGGGGAATCAACAGTGATGAGATCTCCAGTAGGTGTTTTTAAAAAGGTAAGGACCTTTTTAAACTGTGGAGGACAGTTTACACCGGCTGAAGTTTTTGCGTTCTAGTGTGAACAAAGATATTTTGTAAAATGAAGGTCATGTGGATGGATTTCTTTTTTAAATGGAGGGGGAAATATCCATTTTAGTGCAGTCAGGGCCTTCTTGCTGTCAATTCTTTGATAACAAAGCATTCAAACCAACCAAACAGAATCATTTAGCTCACTACCTTTTGTCACAGCAGACAGTTTTTTGCACACAGGTGTAATTAAAACATTAATTAATGAATGTCTGTATTCCACTTCGGCATACTGGGACATCTAAATGAAATGGAGCCATCATGGAGCATTGCGGTAGTTCAAGTAGGGACAGGAGTGGTTTTATAGTCACAGTTATCAAGTTCACGACCATCTCACCCATTTTAGTTCTCGTACAGTCTGGCTGGTGCTTATTTTTTCTGCCCTCTCCAATAAATGGTTAAACCTTGACCTGATCGTCCTGTCTGAAATGTTATTGTGCTCCTCCCACAAGCATAAGTCAGAATGTCTTTTGTGAAAAAGGCCAATAAGCATTCCAGATACACATCGTTTTTAATAGAATATTGATCACGCTGCCATTAGCCGTGGTGGAAAGTAACTAATTACTCTCATTATTGTAATTGGGAATCTTTGCAGAGTATTTGTTCTGTTTGAGTACACTCAATAATTCATTTAAGTGGATTCTTGATTCTGTCTGCACTCATACATTGAGAAAGAGAGGGATTACAGAGTCGCCTGGAGTTACCCTGCTCCGACACAGAGAGGAAGATTTTTCATTTCACTTTTCTTTAAACCTCTTTTTCCTCCTAAAGCAATGTTCAAGATTAAGTTTTCTCATGAAGAAAATAGTGTTGCTACTCTTGCAGAGCATCACTTTACTGAGGAGGGTAGGTTTAAAAATGTTTTCTTACTTCTTCAAATTTTAAGTTATATTTGGGGAAAGCAACAGAACTTGACTGGATATTATTGAAATCTTCCTTACTGCAGTTTTAGGTAATTGTCATGGAATCTTAATTACTGGATCCGAGGGTAAAACATGACTTTTACAGCCTGTAAGGATTAAGCCAAATTTTATTACAGTGATTCATCAGGAAACATTTGATGTTCTGATCTCAGACAAAAGTTAGTTATAATTCCTATAATGTGAGAGTTGGCATATCATAGAGCTTAATTTTACTGGATGTCTGAAATAACCTTTCAAATTAAATCGAGGCTCAAGTAATGAATGACTTCTGGCTTTGGTCCAGTGCTTTCCCCTGAGTAATTTCTAATGAGTGTGTCGGTGGGGTTTAAAACGTACGAATATTGACGGAGACAATGGGCATTGATGGAAGTGAATATTTCACATATTTCTTCCTTAAATCACCAAAACATTTCTTCCCGCCTCTCACCTAAATATAGGGTCCGTTGGGAGTACCAGGCCAAAAAGGGGAAAATCCAACTACACGGGAATATATCACACTGGAATGACAACACAGGCTCCAACAAATAGAAATAACTTAAACTATGAATATCACCCGCTGTTTCAGGGATACAGCTGAACCATCACAAATAGATTTTGCCTCACTGTACAGCACATGAGGGGTCGTTTTCATCTTGGCCGGCCGCACTGTAAATGGCGCCGTGTTTAGCTCTGCGGACATATGCAGGGCGCATTCTTTAAGTGCTGCATACCTCCTACATTTAACAGATACCATAGATTAATTTGGATGAATGATGGAGCAGATGCCTAGTTTGTATATCCGCAGACCCCACCTTCTATTAATGGTTGGCTGAAGCCTTGTTGGTTGATTCAGAGGGCGCGGCTGGAATTTGGACCGACTGTCTGCTTGTTGAATCCTATTGTACCGAGTGCCACCAGGCTTTAAGTCTTGTTCCATGACTGTAAATTCCTCTGGATATATAGAGGTCAATTTGGGAATGCAGTTGTTGGATGACAACCACTATAGTAAAAAAAATTATAGCGATACTTTGACTGAATAAAAGAGAAAGGATAACAAGGAGCCAATTTTTAGGAGTGTCACACGGACTTGTGTTACAAGCAAACTAAATTGATTTATGGAGTAGCGTGTGAGGCACCCAGTGGCTCACCTGGCAGAGCAGGTGCCCCATGTACAGAGGCTTATGTCCCCAGCAGCTGCGGGTTGTTTTCCAACCTGCGACCCTTTGCTTCATGTCATCCCCTCTCTTTTCCCCTTTAACTCTGAAGCTGTCCCAGCAAATAGAGGCAAAAAGCCAAAAAAACGTAAGAAGAAAAAGGGGAGGGCCAGTGTGTAAGATTTGGGGGGATTTAGTGGCATCTAGTGGTGAGGACTGCAGATTGCAATCAGCTGAAACTTCTTTTGGTTAGGATTCCATCAGTGTTCAGGAGGTTTTGTACTGGGAACAGAATTATCTCCAGTGGTCTCTTCTTCTCCAAAACACATTGAACAGTTGATTTAAACTGGTATAAACACTGAATAAAACACTTTCACGTTACAAATTCATGTTTCTCCAATGCCATTCGGCTCTTTGATAAGATCCAGACCTTCAGGAGATTTATACCGGGAGCTGAATTATTGGCAGAGGTCTCTTCCTTTACAAAACAAACAGACCCACTGATTTAAACCAGTAAAAACACTATATAAAAGCAGTTTCATGTTAAAAGAATTTGCGTTTTTCCGACAGTCATTGTAGAGTGGCTGTGAACTATGGTGGCCAAGGTGAAAATTCCAATGGCCCTATCTAGAGCCAGAATAGATATGTATACATTAGGAAAACTTACTTACATACCTACATTTCTGCCAGTTTATTCCCCTAAATCCTACATACTGGACCTTTAAAGGTAATGTTTTAAATGATCCAAATATAAAAATGATAGGATGAATATGTAGGGCCAAATTGTCCTGTAACACTATTCAAGTAAAAACCAAATTTCAGATCTGTTTGTTTTTTTGTTTGCATGTGTGCATATGAAAAGAAGTTTCTCTGCAGGTGCAATGTCATACCAAACTGAATACTGACATTGCACTACACGCACATAATAGGCCTGACATAAAATTGCACTGCCACTGTGTGTGTGCTACTGCTGGTGCGCACCACATGAATACAGAGGCCATTGTGTTTTTGAAGCCTTTTTAAAAGCCTTTCTTTCTTGACAAATATTAATTCTTCTTAATTCTTTATCAAAACAAACTAAGTCAAAATGATTTGTCTTGTCCTTGTCAGACAGATGGCTTGGCTCTGATCATTTTCACAGTCAGTGACACACACACACACACACACTTCACTTTTTTAATTAGCAGTGTCAGCCCTGTTTTCCTCCCTGGTTTTCACAGTAAACAACTGGCATTCTCATTACGGCGATTACAGAAAACCATAGCAACACTCTCCATTGTCAGCGTGGCAGAGAAACAGGTCTCCACTTGCCCGTTGCACTGAAAAACAGCTTAAAAATGTAAATGAGGGATTATTGAAATGGTCACATTCTCAGACAGAGGCAGCTCTGTGAGCATCAGCACATGCCAGACACAAGACACAGCCAGGGCCTCCTCCGCGTAGAAAGAAACAGACAAGACGGTGAGAGGACACAGAGGACAAGACTGAGAGAGAGGACACAGAGAGATGGAAAAACTTAGAGATAACAGACAGACATGACCACCAACTGACAGTTCGACACGGCCCCAGGACTGCAGAAACCTGTGCGATATCAGAGGTGGAGAGCCCCTCTGGGTCGTTCACTGTACGCTAAATGAACTGCTGAGACACATCTGAAGTGATGCAAAGTGGAGTGATTTATTGGGTCAGCTCCACTGAGGTATGCTATGCTACATTCCCGACACGCCTCTATCACTGACAGAGAGATTAGCAGAAGGCTTTTTCTTGGGGATATGCTTGACTCTAAAGAAGATAAGACTGGTTGGAACTCGAGGCCTTTTTCTAGCATCGGTGGAGGAGTCATGAGTGCTGTGTCCATGTCGATGATGGTTTTAAAAGGGAAGGAGGAGCTCTTTGTTTCAGGTGCTCAAAAAAACTAGACAGGGAAATAAGAGAGAGCAAGGGGGCAGAAAATCGTGATGGCTCTTTGGTACTGAGAAACAGTTTTTTAAAGTAGAGAGTGAAAGAAAGTGAGGCAGAAGTGGAGTGGTGGCATGCTTGGCATTCATGCTGGCATTTCTGCTGAAAATTTACTCTTGGGTGTTGTCTCTTCTGCCGGCGGAAGACAGAAAGCCGTAAGAAAATAGTTGAGAGTGACATTCGCTCCTCCGCAGTCCGCACAGTGCAGCACCATGCACGTTGCTAAGATTGGGAAGAAGAGGAGAAGCTGCCGGGGGGCAAGGGCAGGTCGATCGAAGAATCTCACCCTCCATCACTACTCTCGCTGGCTGATGGTCCACGGGAAGAAAGATAGGAGGGTGACTGAACCACACAGGTGGAGTTAAATAGTCCAGCTCCTCTTCTTTAGACAAAATAAAATGGGTTAGAGGGGATGGGGGGGAGTGGATGGAAGGAGGTTTGATTGAAGATAAAGTAGTACAGGGTGGAGAGAGTAAGGAGGAGAGAAGGAGAGAGACAGAGAGAGATGTAGTGAGAACAAAAAGCACCAACCCATGGATTAGAACACCTCTGACCACACCACATTCCTGGAAAGTAAAGAGGAACATTATGCAGCAAAGAGGATTACACTTGTGGGAATTGGACATGAGCTGAGTATCAGAAAAAAAAAATTCTGGGGCACATGGGAGAAACAGTGGAAGTGTTTTTGCGTCCCTTCTCCTCCTGCCCTCCTCTCTCTTCTACATTCCTATTTTGTCGGGAGGGTGAAATAGGATCTGAGAGAATTACAGTATCTCACGGATTCAGAGGATCCCTTCTCAGTTTGTATCTGGAGGTTCAAAGGTAGACAGGAGTTGCCGTTAAAAAGGGCAAATCACTGCTTGACTACAAACACCATCCTCGAGAACTTCAGCCCCCTCCCCTCTCCGTCTAGCCATCCATCCATCCAGCAGCCTTTCCTCCGGCAGTCAGCTAACAACACCTTTTGTTAAGTGACAGGAAGATGATACAGCTACCTCTGACTGTTTTGCACACTTTAAATCGTTGAAGCGTTTCCCCATTGAGGGATGCTGTAACTTAAGCTGAGAGGTTATGCAAGTCTGCTGCATTCCTGCCAACTCTACACAGGGCGGAAACACTTGTCGCATGCCTTCTCTGCAAATAGGTACCATGGATGGGTATCGGTGAAAGATATTTAAGTAGTAAAGAACAATAATTCATTGAGAGAATCATGTAACAAGTGCAGCACGGTCTAATAAGTTTGCAGGCAGGTAAACAGTCCAGGCAGAAAGCAAATGAGGAACACATTGGTTTAAATGTCTTTTGAAACAGAGACATCCTCGAAAACAATACAAGAAATCAGAGGTTTATTAAGTAAAGCTGGGCATACAGCCTCATTTTATAGCTGGATTGGTTTCAGCTTTGTTGGACACTGTTTGCTGTGCAGTGTACAAGGGGAAGTGTGGGCAGACGATGGCCTGATAACTGCTCCTGACTGTCCGTCAAACTTTTGGATGAATTTCTGGCACGTCAGAAATTGTGGTTGTCTGTTGTCAGGCTCTCACACAGTTGAAGTAGAGCCATGAATCAGTTCCCATAAGATCAGTGTCTCACTCAATCACTGTGTGCAGTATATGCTCAGCTAGTTCGTTGGTGACGCTAACTGCTAACAGCTTAAGCTATGTCGCTAGGAAGCTATAGGTTTTGCTGAGGTACTTGTCCACCTCCTTGTGAGTTGGCCACTTTGATTTTGCCCAGGGTCTTCTTTGTGAATCTAAAGACATTCAAAATAAAGGCTGTGTTCCTCCTCTTTCTATGCCACTCACTTCTACAAAGGTTGGTGACCATTTTTCTCTGCAATTTAACTTTGCTAATCTGGCCTTGTGCGCCTCTCTTACCTACTTGTACTGTCATATGAGCAGTCTCATGCTCGGGCGTGATCAAAACTTGGACTGAGCTATTTTTGCAGAAATAGATTTTAAAGTTCTTTTTGGGACTTCACATTATTGTAAACCATACCCCTGCAAGCAAGCAATCTTCCACCTGCCAAAACGAATTCAAATGAATCGTTATTGACCATCGTCAATAGCAAGCATGGTCCAGCAAACAATACAAGAGCCCTCATTATGCTGAAAGGCATTTTGAATATTGCTCAAATCACATTTACATGCATGCTGGATAATAATTACCTAAATTCCTCCAAATTTGGCCCCACCTTGCCACTGCATGTTCGCACACTGCAAGCTAATATTGCAGGAACATTGCAGCTGTTGTAAGCTGATACTTAAGTGAGCTAACTATGCTTTTCAACAGAAATTCCACATTGCTCTTTGCCCTCACCAGCAAAAGTGAGACACAACCCTGGATTCACTCTGGTTTTTGAGGGGACTCCCTAAAAACACAGGGTTTTGCCTGGAGGTGGTGCCATATGTCCTGCATCACACAGACTGTTGTGTTCCTGATGGGTGTTCTTGTCAGCTCATCACATCGTCTCATCACTTGACAGTTGCGCTAGCAAAACCATAACCGATAAAGTTGTTTATTAGCCTGATCTTTGCCTTAACAGCAAATTTAAATGCACAGAAGACTTAAGCCTAACTGTAACTTTAAACAGAGATTATTTCTTTAGTTTTTGGTGATCAGCAATTAATAAAGATACACTTAAGAATTTTGCTACTTATACTGCCGCCATGGCTGCAGCTGTGTTAATGTAAGACTTCCCTGCAGTTTTTTAAATGAGCTTCACTTCATATTGATATTTAGAGCCAGTCCCAATACCCCCCCTTAGCCCTACCCCTACAAAATAGTTCCGTATGCGTGAACGTAACCGACACGGTGACGTAGTGAGTGGTGTCCCAATTCCTAGGGAAAGATTTCAACCCCTACCCCTCGTTGCTTCATTTCGAGGGCCAGGGGGTAGTGGACAAGGGGGGTATTGGGACTGGGCCTTAGACTTTAGATACTTTAGCTTTCATCTAGTTTGCCTGATTTTACAAGCTTTAGAAATAAAACTGGGCCACACTCTGCCACTCAGTCCAACTTCTCATTGTCATCTAACCAAAATAAATCCGTATTTTTGTTTGACGTTCTTACAAAGATGCACGCAGGTGATCACATAAAGTATGAACATGCACTCAGAGCACAGGCTGAGACAGCATGGTCACAGAACTGACTGAAGCGTGCACTGCTGCGTCCTGCAAAACCAAAAACCCCATGTATTTGGGCAGTGTTGTTTTGGAACGAGCTTAGTCCTCTTGGTGTTTCGCCTTGCTACATTTGTGTACATGTCAGTGTTGGGTCTGCAATTTTTGAAGCTTCCCCTTGGATGCATGCTGCTACTACCTGATTGCTACTCTTTTATAACATGTCAGCCTCTCCTGTGCTCTGTTATTGGCTGGGGGCTACATGCTGATAACATAACAAAATAAGAAAATACAGACAGAGGGCAGAGTCTTTCCAAAAAATACATCAACACACACTTGTAGGCATATCTGATGATTAAAGGGGATTACATTTGCATGAATCTAAAAAAATTCCCACATACTATACCTTTAAACTTGAACAATATCACATGAAATTTGAAGAGAGCAGCTTTACCAGAAGATGAGGCTGTAGAATCGCACCACCAATATCCCCCAGAGACAAACTGCATGATTATCTAAAGGGATCTGAGACTGAAACCCATGGGACTCAATGAGTGTTAGTGAAATGCCAAAAAGTGCATCATGTGGCATAAATAATAAAATAGTAAAAAAAAACTGTGCTGTGCACCCATTGATGGATGAATTCAGCTACAGTATACAGCCACAGTGAGAAAATAACATAGATAACAGCCAAAACCTCGAGTATGGTTGTGTCGACTCGTTCATTTAGCGGGGCATGATTTCTGCTGTCTGATAACACAAAATAACCTCAAAGAGTCTGAAGGAGGTCGGTGACATTATTGATCTGATCTCAACAATCATTTAGCCATGTGTTGAGATTTTAATGCTGCTTTACTTTCTGGTCTGTATCCATGCGGCACCTTCCTGCCATTCTCCATTCCTTTTCATCAGCTCAGTGATAGAGGGCAGTCCTGCAAGACAGCACCCGGTATGAGGAGATAGTGCCGCACTGTTTTTTTCACTGTAACATATTGCTTCTTCATATGCATTTTCTCAGTTGTGGTGGTAACTGACTTGCTTAATCATCTTTACAGTGAAAATGTGACTTTCTTTTTTGCATCATTACAATCAGCACTCAGTGGGAGGTGAGCTCAGATCAGATCTATTATTAATATCTATATATATATAAATGATTTCCATTTCTTTCTGTTCTCACTTTGTCTCCCACCATCTGATTGCCTTTTCACCAGCCATTAAAGGGATACTTTGCAGATTTTCAACCAGCTTTGTATTAAAACACTGTGGGTAGTATGTGTGAATCTACTGTGGTACGCTTCCCTCCATCTTACCAGTGCCCAGATCTCCCTGCTCATCTCTCAGCTCAAATCCGCCAGATGACGCGACTTTTGCTGGGTCTACGGCTGTTGCTCAAACTACAGAATGTACCTCCTCGTTTTTGAATGCCTGCCACCACAGACACAAAGAGTATGTATGCAGATTTAGAAGGAGAGACCCCCCTCCCTCTCTGTCTCTCTCCAAAACTCAGACCAAATTGAATCAAATGGTAAAACTAGGCAGTGCTGATGAATTATAAACCAAGGTTCTGTTACTGTATTGCCTACTTTAAGCCTAATACGTCAGAAATATATTTTAGTGGACTGTTTGGCTGTAGTATGAGAATTTGTGAACAATAAGTGGGCACCAAACTGTTTCCTCTATTGTAAAAATGGAGGTAAAAAACTGAGGTTTAAAAACAGTAAACTAAAAAAAAATCAAATACAAACCAAGACTCCATTACTGCGCTGCCTATTTCTCATCTAAAATGTTTTCAGAATCATATTTTATCTTACTGTTCAACTGTAATTCTAGACTGTGGGTGCGTTTCGAATCACATACTTTTTCTTTTTACTTTTAGTAGGTATTGCAGCTGCCCTTAAAAAGTACATACTGTTGCATGCTGTATGCACACAATAAGGACACACTACTTTCTCATTACATTACGCCCTGAACTTTGACCTTCTTATTGATATATCCGTTACCATGGAGATAAAAGAAAAACACAGCTTACCAAGTTTAACAGAGACGGAGATCAACCCGGAGAGCTCTGCTGTTGTTACTTTGCAATGTATGTAGTTTAACATCTCCGGTTTGCTGTCATTGTTATTTTTATAGTTATGTCCCATTGTTGCTAGTGATATTTATGATTATTTTGACCACTTAAACTTAATCAATATTCCTATTATTAATATTCGACTGGTCATCAGTTACTTGAATGCACTGTCATCCGTCATTGCAACTT